CAGTATACAGATTTGAACTAGAAACATTGCAATATAAAAATATTAAATTAAATTGAGATAACTCTGTAGGTGGGCTTTTTTGTCCTACCTTCCAGTTCCCAAATAACCACGCTGAGACTTATTATTAATTATAAATGCTCAACCAATAGCTCAAGCTTGTTACTAGCCAACTCTTACATTTTAAATTAACCCATATTTCTTATCTACACTCTGCCACATGGCTTGGTACCTTTTCTCAGTACAGCAAGTACATCTCCTCTCTGTATCTCCTTGAGATTCTGAGACTCCTCCCTTTTCTTTCATGCTCTTTTTGTTTGCAAGTCCCAACTATCTGTCCAGCTATTGGCCAGTCAGCTACTTTATTAAACCAATCACAGCGACATATATTCACACAGTGTAAAGGAATATTCCACATAACTCAATATATGTACTGTGCAAGTTTGAATGAGAATGACCCTCTGGGTTCATATATCTGCTTGCTTAGCCCCCAGTTCAGGAACTGTTTGGAAAGATGTAGGAGGTGCACTCTTTACAGAAAGTGTGTCACTGGGAGTGGGCTTTGAGGTTTCAAAAGCTCACCAGGCCCAGTATCTGCTTGCTGCCTGTGGATCGGGATGTACAGCTCTCATCCACTTCTCCAGCACCATGATTGCCTACCACCACGCTTCCCACCATGTTGATAATGAACTCATGCCCTAAAACTGACGTAAGCCCCAAATTAAATGCTTTCTCTTATAAATTGCCTTGGTCATATTGTCTCCTTACAGCAGCAGAAGAGTAACTAAGCCATGTACCATTAATCAAGTATTATAACCTTTGTCTATTTTGAGACAAAGCATACAGCCCAGGTGAAACACAAATGTAATGTTTATCTGAGGGTGACCCTGTATTCCTGATCTCCCTTCTATGTGCTATGATTATTGGTCAGCAAGACCATACCTGGCTGTCATAACCTACCTGTATTTGTCAAGTGTTGTTCCGATAGAATATCTTCAAGCTACTTTGTAGAGGGCAAAAAAGTCCTGTGCATACAGATAAGCACTGGCATAGCCAGGAAAGTTAAATATGCAGGCATCCTTCAAAAGAAAGAGATGTTTAACCTGTTCCTCCTGGAATGCTAGGTATGGATGTTGACGGGGCTACTATCAGCTTAAGACACCCTAGACTAAGTTCTCAGCACCAAAGAGCTTTATCTTCCCCAGAGGGTTGACAAACAGAGGCTTCCTGAAAACACAGGGATGAATAGGTATATGCAGAAAGAAAGCCCCCTCCCAAGGGGAGAATGTAACCCAGTGGCCACAAAAATTAAAGGCCTGGTAATTCGTTAAAAGGATTGGCCTTTGGAAAACAGGGAGAACTTGGAGAATCATACTCTCTGCCACAGAAAGGGACTCTGGGGATAGATTTACAATCTAGGTCCCCAGACCAAAGATCTCCTACCTGTGTCAAGGCCCAAACCAACTCTGCCCTCTTAATACACACAGGGCCAAAGTCCTCCAACTGTTTAGGAAGCTGAGGGATTCCCCGAACCTCTTTTCCATTGTCAACAAGGTCCACTGCTGGATCAACCATTCCCAGCTAGAAATTGGCCAGAATTATCAGTTATGCTTAGACATGCCCCGCCCCCTAGAATGCCCCGCCTCCTAGACATGCCCCGCCCCCTAGACATGCCCCGCCTCCAGGCCCTTTCACTACATAGGGATAGGACTGTCAGCCATTGACTGACAAATCTCACTGTGACTGGGGACAGCCCAAATTAACGTCAGAAGGCTTACAGGGGACTGTAACATATCTAATATTGAAAACATTAGCCTGGGCACTTTCTCTTATTCTAATGTCTGCTATTCACCCTTGTGGGTTAACTTGTCTGGACAAGAGGAGTATTACTGGGCCCCTGAGACTACTTGGTGGGCATGTATCAATGGTTTAACTAAATGTGTTTTTTCTTGATGATTTATATAATGGGGGGGGGGGAACATTTTAATATGGGCCATGGACTGCAAAGAAAAGAAGAACTGCGCCTGCCCTCACTCCTGAATGGAGCCGGCACGGGCACACGGACAGCCTTAGAAACATCAGCTTTTATCACGAGAGATAAAAACTTTAAAAACTGTGTAGGCGTGATGATCAGGATCTAGAGGTATAAAGTTTCTGCTTTTGAATTAAAACAACAGTTGGATTCCCTTACAGAAATGGCCCTACAAACTCCATGAGGCTCAGACTTACTTCTCATGAGATGAGGGGACTGTGTGTGGCTTTGTTGTGAATCTGGAACTTTGAAAACAGCTGTCCAGCTGCAGACTCCGGCTTTCCCTCTCCAACCGGTTCTGTAGAGGTAGGGGCAGAAACCCAGGAGAGTGGAAATCTCTCTCCCATGGTTCCTGGAATTCCCAAGACCTCTGGGAAATGTAGTCCCTGAGACTCTGACGAAACAAGGGGCTACTCTGGAAACCGCCATTCAGCTTTTGGTAAGCACACGTGCATCCTCCTCCAAATCTGGCGAGAATCCAGTCCTGCTCCGCTCTCGGGGTGCATCTCTGACATGGAGGTTGGTCCAGGGTGCAGCGCCACCAGGAAGGCCAGAGGAACTGTGCGGGGAGGGCGTGGCGTAGTGGGGCTTGAAGGGAGCGGAGGAGGGGTGGAATCTAAGCCGTTTAGAGGAGCTGTGCTGGACTAGCCTGGGCCACAATCAAGGTGCAAGTCGGGGTTGGGGAGAAGACGATGGGGCTGATGCTGGGAATGACCACTTTGTAAGAAGGCATCATGCTGCCTTTATCCTCCTTGTGCTTTGGGGACAGGAGATCAGGCTTGGTACTTCAGGCATGGGGAAGCTTGCAAGAACCAGGATTGGCTGGGTGGGTTTCTGACAGTCTTTGGCTGGAGGTGGTGTTGGGAGCTCATTCACACATGGTTGTTCTTTGATTTCTCAGTCTGTTTAGGCAAGGAGATATCTGGTCCTTTCTGTAATTTATGGTTGGCCAATATTCTCGTTTTAGTGGCTAGGTTTCCAGGACAGAGTTCTACAAGGAAGACTGGTGGTGTACAGGATGTTTCTCCCACTTTCTTTGGAATGAACTGTGTACTTAAGGGCGGTTCACTCTGAAAAGGAATCTCCCATGTCCAATCCTGTGAGCTGAATCCTCACAGTAACACTCCCATAGGGAGGCAGAACCATGCCATAAAGGGGATAGGCTGAGCTTTGCATTGTCCCAGCAATGTTGATCCTACAGTGTGGGGTGAAAAATAATAGAAAATAACAGCCCACCCTGTTCTGCCAGAGACTGTGTGATGTTGGAAGTGTGGACACTTTTCAGAATGGAGACATGAGTCAGTGTGAGGACAGACTTGATTTTTAGTGATTGGAGGGGGGCTTGAGAGACTCTGTGGAGGAACCATAGCCCTGCACACCTGACAGCCTGTGTGCATTGTTCTTCATTCACAACCTCCCCCATTCTTATGTGCACTCTGACATTTCTGTTCAACCGTCACTGAATGTGGCATTCAGCTTCCGTGATGTCCCTGTAGAGTGCTTATGGAAGTTTCTCCAAGAACTTATACTATGTCATAAACACTAAGAGATGGAAGTGAATAGCTCTGCCTCACTCAGGGTCCTGTGATTGGCACGGTGTTCGCTCTTCATCCTGTCCTTTGTGCTTTTCACTTTTCAGTCAAACCAAGTGTTTGTGAGCTGGTGACTGACTTAGGACATTGAAGTCTATGTAGCATGAATCTTAACAGTTCTTATTAATAAGATCAAACCTGAGGCCAGTTATTAGGGTAAATGCTGGAAGGTCAGAGTACCAGAACAAGCCACAGCTAACCTCACCTGGCCAACTTCTCAGCTGGTCTTGTTTTCTCAGCTGGAAGCTTTTGTGTCCTCATCCCAATGGCTCTCAGCTGAACTGCTGCTAGAAGCCTGAAAGCTTAACCAGCCAAATGCTTTTAGTTTTTGGTCTCCACGCCTTATATATCTTTTTGCTTTCTACCACCACTCCCTGGGATTAAAGGCGTGTGTCACCATGCCTGGCTGTTTCCAATGTGGCCTTGAACTCACAGAGATCCAGAGGGATTTCTGTCTCTGGAGTGTTAAGATTAAAGGTGTGAGTGCCGCCATTTTTTAGCCTTTGTATTTAGTGGCTGTCTGTTCTCTGACCCCAGATAAGTTTATTAGGGTGCACAATATTTTGGGGACCACAATAACACCACAAGTCTACTCTTAGGAAACATGGGCTTCAAACCACCTCATCTTAAATACCAGTATTTTCTGTGTCTTTTGTGACTATAATTAAAATAATAGGCACTTGATCATTAATGTTAATAAATTGCAAGAAAATGGTAGCGTGTTTTACGTTTTTAAGACGGAAAAAGTATGCTGCCTTTTCCATCAAAACTGATTCTTTCTCTGTACAGCATGCAGGTGCAGCAGCATGCTTACTTTATGACGTACAGACCTGTGTGTATTCATTTAATTTGTAGTAAACAGACTAGAAAGAAAAGAAACTTCAGCTTACTCTGTGGCACATCCCTGCCGTCTGCATTTGTGAGGGGGAGGCAGGAGCCCAAGGTCATCTCTCTAGCAAATCAAAGCCAACCTATGCTACATGAGTCTGTGTCAGAAAACATTTATTTATTTATTTTAAATGATTTATTTTTATTTCATGTGCATTGGTGTTTTGCCTGCATGTATGTCTGTGTGAGGGTGTCAGATGCCCTGGAACTAGAATTATAGACAATTGTGAGCTGCCATGTGGGTTCTGGAAATTGAACTTGAGTCCTCTGGAAGAGCAGCCAGTGCTCTTAACTGCTGAGCCATCTCTCCAATCCCATCAGAAACCATTTAAACATAGTGTATAGATGTGCTAAAGTCAGGTGAGAATGTGAGTCCTGACGTTTGATATTCCACTTACTATTTCATTAAGAGCACTCACGGTAAAAAAAAAAAAAAAACAAAAAACAAAACCCTAAATAAAAGAAGACTTAGGAACAATGTACTGACTCTTTAAAATCCACAGGTACATCTAGACATCTAACATACAAAGCAAAACATGCAATATATATTTTGGAACTAATATTCTAATTATACATTCCATGTTTCCAATAAAAACATGACATATGGTCTTCCATGGGTCTTTTCCATATGCTAAGTTGTAGTGTAGCCAAATGTGATAACTTAAGGCAAAAATTAATTGTTGTGCGCCACACTCACATGAGTCAAAAGCTGGGACAAAGACCTGGGAGTTCCTTCTTCACGTTCTTTGTGGTGAGTTTTTAAAGCACTGTGTTCTGGAATTGAGAGACAGGCCAGGCCTGAATGGAGGGTCACTGGGGTTTGGAACCTGCTCAGTAACACAGCCCTCTCTTGCAAGGAGCTTTGATTTCCCCACAGTCTCCGGGTAGTCAGGTTTGTCTGGATGGTGCAAGAAATATCTCCCTGGGGACACTGAGAGGGCCTGTGGTTCGTAGGAGTTCTGCTCTGTCTTTCTGTTGTTGCAGGCTTGTCTCTACGACCAGCCTCCATTCAGGGAGGGACAGTTGGTCTCCAGTGACCCATCTGGTAGTTAGTTTGAGTTTGCAGCAATCTTGAATGAATCACAGTTTGTCCTTCTCAGGCCTGATATTGTTTGCCTTCCTTCTCCATGGAAAATGGACGTTGCCAGTCGCAACTGCCCCTGAAATGTTTGCTTTTAATTATATCAGCTAAAATCCAACTGAGTGGGACCATGGTGGCAGGCCTTCTGCCCCGCATCCCCAGGCAGCCCACAGTGCGGAGAGTGGCACAGCAACACTTCCCCATCCAGAACAGTGGTAACAGGTGCTGGGCAGTGTTAGGGAGAGGTCCTTGCAGTCAGTTCACCACTGGGGACTTGCTCCAGTTCTGTGAGAGAACGATGTTTCCATCTTCACTCTGCCCTGAGTTCCTGCAGTTCTCCAAGCTGACCTGTTGTCGGTGATCTGCTAAGTATGGAAGAGTGGAATCTGTGGTTTTCATTTACTTGAAATGTGGGGACGTGTTCTACTACCTGTAGAGAAATTTTCAACAGAGTTTAGTTGCTTTTTCTTGAGAAATTACTGGATTTTTCTATTCACTAACTTTCTTCAATGTGCTGTGATTTGGGGATCCATCTTCCTCCACAGTGCCTCTGTACTCTGCCCTTGAGATAAAAGATGTTTATTTCAGTGTAATCATTCTTTCCAAGGCATACTTTTCCTCTGTGCCAAAAGTCTTTTGACTATAGCCATCCTCCTACTGATGCTGAAAACACCTTGCACTTCAGACACAAGACTCAGAGGACTGGAGCTGGATTTGACCTGAAATCCTCCTACCTGAGTCCAAGTTTTCATAGTGATGGAAGGTGCTTTGCAAGCTCCCGAGGGAGAGAGGTGATAAACAGTTTTATTTAGCTGTTGTTCCCATGAACCACAACAATGACCAGTATGGCAAGATATCACTAGGGGTACAACAGTGACTGTCATTTCGTGGCATGGACAGTAGCTGTCTAATTGGACTTAAGTCCTGCTCAAGAGTAGGCAAATCCTGCCTGGAATCATGGCTGCTACTCATGGTTAGTTGGGTCACGGATCTTTGAGGAGTTCCTGCTACTACTACTTTACCAAACCATCATAATACCTAACTGCACTCCAAATACTTTTCCTTAGAACCATAGATAAGTGCAGCTCTCACAGCTTCTCAAAGCTTCCCTCTGCAGTAGTCAGAGAGCATTACAGAAGACCAAAGTGACCAAAATGCAGAGTAGAATGATCGTGTGGTACCCTGCCCCAGTGGAAACATCTACATAGTAATCATCGTAATTCCTGCACCTAAGGCTCAAGGAATATCTCTGGAGATGGAGCTATTAGATCATATGAACCAAAAGTCAGTTGTGTATGGTGTGAGGTTGTGTCTCCTACAAAGTGAAGGGAAGTTGCACTCATGATACCTCAACAATGTGACTGCATGGAAATGATCTGAAAATGCTAATATACATGATTTCCTGCAGGGGGAATCTACAGTCTTCCCCATAGATGAGTCCTCTCACTGTTTATCCAACACCAAGGAGTCAGCCATCAAAACATCCATGCAGACAGCACTGAACAGAATCAGCAGTTCATATTTATTCATGTACACATATGTAGGTACCTACACATGTAACAATAATAATTAAAGGTGAAGACACAATATACTTCAGAAGAAGTAACCAGTGGGCATGGGAGGGGTTGGAATAAGGAGAGGAAGGGGAAAATTATGTAATTATATTTTAAATAATTTTCAAAAAAAGGATAAATTCATGGTGTTTGTGACAACATGGATAAAACTGAGAATTATTTCAGGCATAGAAAAGTACCACTTGATCATATTGAGATGCTACATGCAGAGTTGTAACTCACAGGAGTTGGAGATGGAATGGTTTTCCATCAGCAGGGACATCAGGAAGCCGAGGCTTGGGGACTTTTCAAACAATGGATGTTCTGGAACAGTGTGATAAGAGGGTGATCACTGCTCCCTGTACTGTTGCTCCAAATGTTGGATATGTGTAAGCTTTATCTAGTGTTCATTTCAGAAGCCTGAAATACAGTGTTTGGGGAGATGAACACACTGAAAACTGATGGAAAGGCTATGCAAAACTTACCCTTAAAATTAATACCAAATACCCCTTTGATATATAAATTCCCAATATTTTTCATGCAGTTAAAAAAAAAAAAAAGGAAAAATAATATTGTTGCTCTCATAGATTATGTGGTGGTTTGAAAGAAAATGGCCCCCATGGGAGTGGCACTATTTGGAGGTGTGACCTTGTTGAAGCAAGTGTGTCACTGTGAAGGTGGGCTTTGAGGTCTCTTTTGTACAAGCTTCCCTCAGTGTGACAGTCAATTGAGTTCCTATTACCTCTGAGTCAAAATGTAGGATTCTAAGCTATTCCTCCAGCACCATGTCTGCCTGCACGCCACCGTGCTCCCCATCCTGATGATAGTGGACTGAACCTCTGAAACTGTAAGTGAGCCAACCCAGTTAAATGTTTCATTTATAAGAGTTGCTGTGGTCATGGTGTCTTTTCACAGCAATAGAAAACCCTAACTAATACAGATCGTGTTGAGGCTTTACTCAAAAAATATATGAAAAGCAGAAAAATTTTGATTCATAGAGTATTTTGAAATAAGGAAATAGTTGCATCAGCAATCATAATTCTCAGCTACAGCACATTGAGGTACAGGTGTCAACTATTCAAAGCATGCTTTAGGAATGTTGCAAACCCATCAGTACCTGTCAAGACAAAGAAGTGGAAAAGGGAAATGAACATAAGATCAGAGCAATATCTAGTGTATTTTAAATATTCCCAAAGTATTTCTGTTTCTGTACTTGCTGATTATTATTCAGGCAACACTCCATCACTGTGGGAAGTCTAAGTAGGAACCTGGAGGCAGGAACTGGAGCAGAGGCCGTAGAGGAACACTGCTTCCTGGCTTGTTCTCCATGCTTTGCTCAGCCTACTTTTTTGTAACTTTGAGGACCACCTGCCCAGGCTGGCACCACCCCCAGTGGGCTGGGTTGTTCCATATCCATCACCAATTAAGAAAGTTACATCATATGGAGATCTTTTCTCAATTATGCTTCTCTTTTCTCAAATGGCCAATGTCAAGTTGACAGGGGAACTATCCAACCCAATGCATCTTAGTGTTTATATAATTTTTAGTGGTTTTAACTAATGAAAAGTGTGATAATATTCATTGGTCTGTATTTCAGGAGATGCTGTCATTCTGGGATGTGGCCATTGATTTTACTCCAGAAGAGTGGGAATGCCTGGAGCCTGCTCAGTGGGATCTGTACAGGGATGTGATATTGGAGAATTACAGCCACCTTGATTTCTTGGGTAAGGATCTCATCCATAGTGAATTCTTATTTCAACCTCAACATGTAGCTTCCCTACTTTGTATAGTATCTCATGGGAATTTGTGCTTTCCAACAGCAAATATCATATTTTTCATTTTAAGAAAAATTAGGGATGTTGCTGTATAGCTAAGAAACATTTCATTGTTTTTCTCTTTGTATGTGTAACCTGTCTGTGTTGGGAGCATGCATCCTTCACTCTAGTGGGACTGGGAGAAATTCAATGGCATGAGGCATGGAGCACTCATGTTAATGGAAATGTTTCACAATTCAGTTTTAATGTTTTCCCCTCTAACTGAAGCTTAGAATCTGCAGATTGTAAATTCCTCTTCAACATTCTAATATACCGATCAGAAATCATTTCAGGAACTAATTGCCTGCAAACATTTACTACATCATTTCTTTTCTCATAAGCAGCGTACTGTAAGTTGCAAGTTAATTCCTAGTGGAAGAACACTCAAACCATCTTGTTCCTCTTTCCTACAAACAGGTCTTACTGTCTCTAAGCCACACCTGGTGACATTTCTGGAGCAAAGACAAGGGCCTTGGGATGTGAAGAAACAAGCACCAGCCCCTCTGCATCCAGGTGTGTAGAAAAGAGGGGTCAGGGGACAGAGTTGAAAGATCCAACAGAGAGGCAGGCTTTCCCACGTGGGACGTCCTATTCCCCATTCATCCTTATTCTTTGATGAGGCCAGCATCCTGTTTACTCTGGTAGGGGATGTGTCAGATTGGAGGGTAAATGTGTTATTTGATTCTGAGTGTGTCCTGAATGCAAGTGTATTTTAGACTTAACCCTTTTTTACTCTAGCATTCAATAACCAGTTTTTTAAAGTATACCTCATATTTGAATATTATTGTGTATTAAACAAACTTTAAGTTGATCTTTGTTTGAGATACCTGCTTAGATAGGCTAAACTCTGATAACAAGTACAGAGGACTGTATAATGAAAAGTAGAAATTAATGTCTCCCTTTAATACTGTCTGGGAAAATGAATTACATTTGTATTTAGCAGGACTACAAACACAACTGGGGCACATTAAGGATTTAAATCACTGCTAAGGTGCTCATAAATAACTATTATGTCTTAATTACTTTTTTTTGTATCAGCGTTCAATAAATTAGTAACTGTCATAGATTGGAATTTTATAAATGAAAGTAAGTTATCCTTATTAAAATTTTGAGCCTTAAAAAGTCACAGTTTGGAAAAAACACCAAAGAAAAACAAAAAAACAAAGATGGGCAGTGGTGGCACATGCCTTTAATCCCATTTTTTGGGAAGTGTAGGCAGGTAACTCTGTGAATTCAAGGCCAACCTGGTCTACAGAACGAGTTCTGTGACAGCCAGGGCTACAAAGAAACCCTGTCTCTAAAATAAAAAAAAAAAGTCACAATTTTTATACTGAAGTTCTTTTATAGCAAATAAACTTTAAACCATAAATACAGTCCATGGAGAGATTTGAAACTTTAGTTTCCTAATTCTTTTATAAATACCTTTACAAGCCGGGCGGTGGTGGCGCACGCCTTTAATCCCAGCACTCGGGAGGCAGAGCCAGGTGGATCTCTGTGAGTTCGAGGCCAGCCTGGGCTACCAAGTGAGTTCCAGGAAAGGCGCAAAGCTACACAGAGAAACCCTGTCTCGAAAAACCAAAAAAAAAAAAAAAAAAATACCTTTACAAAATCTAAGTCAATCCTAAGATACTCTACATTAGTACCTTGCTTTGTCATAAAGAATACATTTGCAGCAGTGGGGGTGCATGCCTTTGATCCCAGCACTTGGGAGGCAGAGTAGGCAGATCATGGGGTTCCAGGCCAGCCAAGGATACCAAAAACCCTGTCTTTAAAAGTAAAAAAAAAAAACAAACAGAAAAACAAACTAACAAATGAAAAACAATAACAAAAAAATACATCCAGAGGAGAGAATAGTAAAGTTAACTGTTATAAGAAGACACCTGTAAGATTAAAAAGATGGAAAATTAATTACCCTCACAGTTCTTGTCATGAATCAGTTACTCCAAATGGCTAAAGTTTAACAAAGTTAGCAAAGACACTAAGTAACTAGATAGATATCTTTATGTCAGTTTTTGTTAGCAATAACCATTATAACCCTAGGACATTAACATCTTTTGACTATCAGGTATATTATCTTTAAGTCTCATCTTGCGTAAGTCCCATATAATGTATTCAGACCTACTGTGATTTCTCTTAAAGCTTTTATAATTTTGACCTCTTCTTATATAATTTATCTTATCTAAAATAATTTAACCCTTTTCAGAGATATAACTTCATATTTATATTTTTTATAACTTTTTTAAATGGTTCCACTGGTCCTGAGAAAAGAGTTACATCTCAGTAAGAGTTTTAGTAATATGAATAAACTTGGATGAGAGAACTTTTTTTTTTTTTGGTTTTTTTCGAGACAGGGTTTCTCTGTGTAGCTTTGCGCCTTTCCTGGGACTCACTTGGTAGCCCAGGCTGGCCTCGAACTCACAGAGATCCACCTGGCTCTGCCTCCCGAGTGCTGGGATTAAAGGCGTGCGCCACCACCGCCCGGCCCGAGAGAACGTTTTTTGTAAACAAGAATCTGAAAGGGGGAGTATAGAGCATGAGTTCAGTTGGTAACTGATTGTAAAGAATCAATTGAGATGATTTACTCCCTTTGAAAAGTCATCTGAACCTTTGTATATAGCCCCCTTGATTAAGCAATTTCAAATGAGACATAATAACATTAACAAGTAAATTTACCATATGATGTAAGACAATTTCCCAGAGTGGAGGGTGTTAGGCAATAGTTATTTTCATGGGGACCATTACTCAGTACACATGACAGCTTTCCCATGACTGCAGAGGTGGACTTCCAACCCAGTTTTAGTTTTTCTTGCCTATATACCCTAGTGTCTCCAGAAAACCTTGAAACCTCATAAAATTGAGTCCCAATTCCATAACTAGCTGGGAGGAATGAGTGGGGACTCAAGTGAGGGTTCAGTGACGTTGCCTCTATCCTCTGTTTTTGAAAGAATATTAATGTTTAACAAGCCCGGCTGTGATTACTTTTATCCGACACAGCTCTAGTTATGAAGGTGGTCGTTGTTCAGCTTAGAAGATACTGTGCAACGTCAGTAAATAGAAGGTTGAATCCAAACTACCCAGCAAGGGTAATGTGACGCGTTCATATTACCTGTGCATACATTCTGTTAAACCATTGAGCTTTGAAAGTTTAGAGATAAACCTTATAGAGAACATAAGACAGTCTATGATTTAGATAGTATGTGGACTTATCATGATCATGATGTTAATAGCTTCTAACAGAATTTAGCCGATTATGATTTTAGAGTTATTATTGATCGATTTTAAAGAGAATGTCCCTCTTATCCTTCTTAATGATGAGGATCCCATTAGTTGTTTTTATTCTACACATCTTCCTACCATGAGGTAAATACCAGTAGCCTCTCTTGGAAACAGTTCACCTCTTAGCTATTCTCAAGTGCATGGTGTCTTTTCCTGTTGTTGTCCTTCTGCCTGTCAGAGAGTCAGGGAGCCAGCCTGACCAGGACAGGGCATTGGGAGAAACTCTGAGACAATTATCCTTGGGTGTGAAGTGGGTGGTGCATATTCTATCTCTGGAGCCAGCTTTTCAGTGAGCTAAAACAACATATGACAATTCCAAAAGCTATTATCTATATTCAAAAAGCATTTGTTTCTCTATTAGACTGAAGCCAGTGATTTATATACCCATAAGTGTATTGTGTGTCTGTAGATATGGGCAGACAACCTGACTAGTACTTTATGTATTTTCCCTCTTATACAGATTTACGTTTTTAGGATAATATAGTGATTTTATGGGCTAGGGACATATTGGTTTTGTAGGGTCAAACCTCTAAGTTTTAAATACATTGGTACCTGTAGCCTAGAGACATGTAAACAGAAAGCCATAAAACTAGACATCTAAGCAACTCAGAAAGTTCTAGAAATGAAACTAAAAGTATCCGGGCTTGGAGCAGAGGCAAGGGCTGACCTCAGCCATAGGGCAAATGAGTCCCAAGAACAGAAAGAATGTTCTGATTCCGGTCTCCCACAGAAGCAGTGCAGCTAAGGTGCTCTCCCCACAGAAAAACTGGCTGCCACTCTTTGCCCCTGGTAAGCTGGAGTCCTGGACCCACACCTGGGCAGCCCCTTTGATGCATGAGGACACTGCTCTTCCCCCACTGCCGGCACTGGCCCAGTGGCTCCCACAGCCACCTTGTGTTCTGCAGTAAAAGGGGCCCTGCCCTGTCTGAGATCTTATAGTTCATAGATGGGTAGATCTCTACTAGCCCAGGGGAGATCTTCCTGAGCACAGGGCTGGGAGCTGACTAGGTTTGCGCTCCCGATAAGACCACAATGGGGAGCTAAGTGCCGGTGATGAGCTGTTTGAAGAGGAACAGACATGGAGTTTTCCAGACCCATGAGTGCAACCTCCGAAAGGAGGTTGGCACTGCTCATGAACCACAGGCAAGAGGGCAGAAGAACCCTGTAGCTTCCAGTTGCCTTGATGCCAAAGTGAGCTCAAACAGTGGCCTGACTCTCTATTCCACGATGAAGGTCAGGGAAAGGGACAAAAAGTAAGGCTGAGACAGTAGCTGAGACAGCATGCATTAAATGAACTATTCAGTTATTAATTCAGCATCTACAGAAATGATATAAGACAAGGATTTAACCAAAATTTTTTTTTTAATATTTATTTATTATGTATACAGTGTTCTATCTGCATGTATTCCTGTAGGCCAGAAGAGGGCACCAGATCTCATTACAGGTGGTTGTGAGCCACCATATGGTTGCTGGGAATTGAATTTAGGACCTCTGGAAGAGCAGTCAGTGCTCTTAACCGCTGAGCCATCTCTCCAGCCCCTTAACCAAAAATTTTTATCTATTCTTCCATCAACATCTTTACTCTTAGAAGGAGACACAGGGAAGGAGTCAACGTCAATACTTTTCCACTTACCAGAGTCTGGACCAGAGAAAAATACCTTCACCTAGCTCCTTGGAGGACCAGAAAGAGTCAGTTGGTTTTGGTGTCAGGAAATACAGTGGAAATTTCTGACTCTCTGGCCCTGGTGAGATATTTATGGGGCCTAGGAAGGTCTCAGTGGGACACTACCACTGTAACAGTGAATGAAGCAAGCTAGGAGACCCAGAGTGTTCTGAAACTCTTGTCAGAAATTTTGCTGGTACCTCCAAGTGTTGTATCCACAGGAGACACAGTTCAAGGCCACTCAGTGAAGTTCAGATAAAGAGCCTTTTTTGCTGTTTTGGAGAACAGGCTCATGCCAGGGAGAATTTTAGCCACTCAACATGAGGCATGATTGGGTCATAAGGTTAAACCCATAATTAACTCATACCAAAGGCTGCTATACCCTGAAACTTCAAAAGTTTCATTTCCATTGATTCAAAGAATGTCTTTTATGTTGTAAAAGAGTGGATTTTTCGAAAGCTGTGGGTGAGGCTTCATGAGGGCATTTTCTCAGCAGGATTGGCTAGCTGAGGGAGTCATTGGGTAAAACTCATGCAAAATGCAAACACTTTGGGCACTTCAGTTACTGACTTTAAATTGTTTTCTACACCTCTGAAAGTTTGCACACATTTCTAAAATCCCTGGGTGTGAAACCATTGTGAGACAATAACTTCACACATAAGTTTCTTTAATATCACTTACACTCATTTAATGAAACTTGTCTCATTTATGAATGATGAAAATGTCTTTATAATTTTTTTGTGTCATACGGTAATAAGGATTTAATATGCATGACATTTGTGGATATATATATATATATATATATATATATATATATATATATGAGAATGTATTTTTTCTTTTTTTGCAATTTCATATTCTGCATTGTTATTTGGAAGTGTGCATCATCTGCAATCATTTGTCATACATGTTCTACCTATGGATGGATTGTCCATCCATCAGGACAGTGCAAGATAAAAAGAGTGTCTATGCTCTAAGAAATAGTATCTATGAGTACTGTTTCTGTGAAGTTTTACCTCATGGTTAACTACAAGTCTCCTATTTTCATGCCTTATTCATTGTTTCTCTCCATTCATTGCTCAATGGTTATTTAATTAATGAATAGTTCATAGAAATATGTAATTTTATCACTGGGCTTGGTGGTGCATGCCTTAATCACAGCACTTGTGAGGCAAAGGCAGGAAGAGTTTGAGGCTAGCATGGTTGACTGAGCCAGATCCAGGACACCCAGGCCTATGCAGAGAAACTCTGTCATTAAAAGCACCAAACGAAACAATTCATTGACAACTATGTTGCCTTCAGCATAGTTTCTGTTATTAATAAGTGTACCTGAAAATTCTTTTATAATTTGATATCTTTGGGGTATATATTTTCTTGTCAACAAAATAAAAAATAAAATACCATCCTAAAGCCCCAAGATATTTTATTTAATATTGATATTGACAGTCTACTTGTTATGGAGCCTATAAAAATGAAAGTCTATACTTGGGTAAAAATTGTGTGTTTCTATGTTGGTCCAGTCTCATAAATCTCAATTAACTTTTTCTTGGTTCTGTTGTAATTTCTTGGATGTCCAGCTATACTTCAGTGAGTTAACTTCTGTTAGTAAAATCCCCTTACAACTTACTTAGCTATTTAGCTTTGAAATATATGCCATTATTTTTGTTCATTTGGTTGTACTCTTATTCTAGTAGATGTGTAGATTGTTTTGCATACTGCTATATTTTGTGAATTATGCTCAGTGATGATAGGTGTTAAATTACACTATAGTTTCTGATTTATGGTTAAATATGTTTGAGTAAATCTCTCCATTTTAAAAGTAATCATTCTAAGTATAGAGAATATTGCTTAGCTTTTGATCATATTCTCAACTTTTGCTCAACAGGAACGACACCCAATAATTGTAACAATTATAGCAAGACCACTGATTGTAATTCACTCCTTAATCAACACCAGAGAATCCATACAGGGAACAAACCCTACAAATGTGAAGAATGTGGTAAGGCCCTTAGTTCTCGCTCAACACTTTCCATACACCAGAGACTCCATACTGGAGACAAACCCTATAAGTGTAAAGAATGCCATAAGGCCTTCAGTACTCGCTCATCACTTTTTATACACCAGAAAAATCATACTGATGAAAAAACCTATAAGTGTGAAGAATGTGGCAAATTATTTTACTATCCATCAATGCTGAAGCAACATCAAAGAATCCATTCTGGAGAGAAACCTTACAAGTGTGAAGAATGTGGCAAAGCTTTTTATGATCCTTCATTCCTGAAACAACATCAAAGAGTTCATTGTGGAGAGAAACCCTACAAGTGTGAAGAATGTGGGAGAACATTTTCCTCTGCTTTAATCCTTAACCAACATAAAGGAATTCATTCTGGACAGAAAAAGTACAAGTGTGAAGAATGTGGCAAATCCTTTTGCTATCCTTCATTCCTAAAGCAACATCAAAGAATTCATTCTGGAGAGAATCCCTACAAGTGTGAAAACTGTGGAAAAAGATTTTACTGTTCTCCACACCTTCAGGAACATCAAAAAGTTCATACTGGAGAAAAACCATATAACTGTGAAGAATGTCACAAAGCCTTTCGTAATCACTCAGCCCTTAGGAAACACAAGGCAGTTCATACTGGAGAGAAACCCTACAAGTGTGAACTGTGTGGAAAAGGATTTACTAAGCCCTCTGTGCTTACTGAGCACAAGATAGCTCATACTGGAGAGAAACCCTACAAGTGTGAGGAGTGTGGCAAATGTTTTTCCTCTTCTTCTGCCCTTAAAAGGCATCAAAGAATTCATTCTGAAGACAATCCCTACAAGTGTGGGGAATGTGGCAGAGCCTTTTCTACACTTTCTACCCTTACTCAGCACAAGTTTGTTCATTCTGGAGAGAAGCCATACAAGTGTGAAGAATGCGGGAAAGCTTTTTCTTATAATTTTTCTTTGATCCAGCACAAATTAAGTCATACTGGAGTGAAATCTTATCAGTGTGAAGAATGTAAAAAAATGTTTTACTCTACTTCAAAATTGAAGAAACATAGAAGACTTCATTGTCAAGAGAAACTGTACAAGTGTGAAGTCTGTGGAAAAGCCTTTTCTAGTAATTCTTCCCTGGTTCAGCACAAAATAGTTCATACTAGAGAGAAATGCCACAAGTGTGAAGAGTGTGGCAAAATGTTTGCCTGTACCTCAAAACTGAAGAGACACAAAAGAACTCATTGTCAAGAGAAACCTTTCAAATGTGAAGTATGTGGTAAGGACTTTCGTACTCGCCCAGAACTTTCTGTTCACAAGAGAACTCACACCATTGAGAAACCACACAAATGTGAAGAATGTGGAAAAACTTTTTGTACTTTCTCATACCTTACTGTGCACAAATTACATCATACCGGGGAGAAATCTTGTAAATGTGAAGAATGTGGCAAAATGTTTTACTCTACTTTAGACCTTAAAAAGCACCAAAAAATTCATACTGGAGAAAAGCCATACAAGTGTGAAGAATGCCACAAAGCCTTTACCACACATACAACCCTAAAGAGACACAAGACAGTTCATTCTGGAGAGAAACCCTGCAAGTGTGAACTGTGTGGGAAAGGATTTATTAAGCCTTCTGTACTTACTGAGCACAAGATAGCTCATACTGGAGAGAAACCCTACAAGTGTGAGGTGTGTGGCAAAGTTTTTTCCTATTCTTCAGATCTTAAAAGACATCAAATAATTCATTCTGAAGACAATCCCTACAAGTGTGGGGAATGTGGGAAAGCCTTCACTAAGCTGTACACTCTTACTCAGCACAAGATTGTTCATACTGGAGAGAAACCATTCAAATGTGAAGAGTGTGGCAAAGGATTTTCCTGCTCTTCATATGTTAAGGTACACAAAACAATTCATTCTGAAGAGAATAACCACAAGTGTGAGGAATGTGGCAAAGTCTTTGTTAATCATTATACCCTTTCTCGACACAAGACAGTTCATACTGGAGAGAAATCCTACAGATGTAATAAAAAGTTTACGCTTTTGTAGCCCTTCAAAGACATCAAATAATTCATTCTGAATAGAAGTTCCACAAGCATGTGGAATGTGGCAAAGCCTTTGATGATGATTTATACTTTATGCAGCACAATGAATGTATTGAGTAGGGAAGCTATGCACATGTGAAGAATGGTGAGTGCTTTAACTCTCAGTCAAGACCCTCTACCATCAGTAAATTTGAATCTGCAGCAAAACAGTCCAAACATGAATGGAGTGACTGACACTTAGTGTTTCCTTGTATCTTAAATAACACAACAATTTTTATCCTGAAAATCAAAGCTATAATGTGAAGGATGTAGTGAAGGTTTCAGTTATTATTCAGTCCTGATTCAACCTCAGTAATTCTCACCTGAGAGAAACCCTACTCATGTGCAGAATAGGACCAGGACTTAGCTGTTCCTCATGTCTATATAAGATTTGGAGAATTCATTGTGATGAAGCCAACAAAAGCAATCAACATAGCAAGTTCTCTACCTTTTCTTCACACTGTATATATCTGCAGATAGTTCATACTGCAGAAACACTCTGCACACTCAAAAGGTGTCCCTAAGCCTTGGATAATAATTCAGGTCTTCATCAGCAACAAAGTGTTGATATAGGTGAGAGACTCTGAAGGTGCAGATGTCTTTGTTAGCTAGCTGCAGATATCCATACCACACAACCCAACATTATCTGAAGGACTCTCAGTTAGCTATTTGCTTCTATCATATTAGCTTATAAGCTTGTGTTCAGGGTATTTTCTTGATTTCTAAGTGATATAAGAGAAGACAGCCAAGATAACCAGCACTACCCTGTACAGGAATTCCTTGGTTGCATAAGAATTGTGGTGAACATGAACCAGAAGAAGCAAGTCAAAAAGCAGTATTCCCCATGGTTTTTACATCACTGTCTGTCCTGGCCTCCCTGGATGAGGAATAGTAACTCATAATTTGAAATAAACTGATTATTCCCCCCACATTGTATTTGGTCCAGCCATTTATTATCAGCCCAACAGAAATCAATCTAGGACAGCCATGAATATGGAAGGCTTTTCAGTCTTCTTCATAACTCTGCTGTTAACATCCAAAGACATACTCGAGACAATGTCACAAAGCCTGTAGATGTGCCCAGCCTCCATTCTAGACCTGAGCATCCACACTGCAGAGAAGTAAAGAATATGACCAATTATTTTTTTATGTTTCCCCAAATCAACACCAAAATTTTCAGACTAGAGAGAAACCTGTGAAATCAAAGACAGTAGCTATGTGTGGAGCGATTGTTCCAAACTCAACATGAGAAATTTAGGCATGAAGGAAAACTAACATGCTCATTTGATAAGAGAACTGATTTTTCTTCATACCTTAGTATCAGAGAGTTTGTTTGGTTTAGAAGCCCTACAGATATAAATAGTGTGACAAAGCCTTATGAACAATCCTCATTACCCATGAATAAATTCATATTGTAATGAACCCTTCTATATATAATGACTCTGGCAGAATCATTTCTCACTGTTTACACCTCATAGTAGCATATCAGCTATCATTTAAAGCACTGTGTACATAGAAATACTGTAGCAATGTCTTTCCTCATGGCTTAGTAATGGATCTATTGAAGTATAGTTATAGGTGGATTTTCTGTCCTGCCAGCTAGCTCCCAAGTAACCACACTGAGACTTCTTATTAATTATGAAAGCTTGGCCAATAGCTTAGGTTTGTCCTATAAATTAACCCACTTCTATTTATCTACACATGCCACGTGACTCATGGCATTTCCCTGTCCTACATATCTTGCTCCTCTGGCTGACTGGTGACTACACATCCCCACCCTTCCAGTGTCCTCTCTGCCCCTAAAATCCTGCCTAGCTATTGGCCATTCAGCTTTTTGTTAAACCAATCCAAGTGACAAAAAAAAAAGAGTATTCCACAACATATAGTAGACACATGCTTTTAATACAGAATTTATGCAAACAGGCATTGCTTATAATTAATGTGAAATGTTTAATGTGATTGAAAGAAGTTATTACAAACATCAGAATCCTTCAGATCACTCAAGCCTAAAGATATTGATTTGTTATACAACCATATTAGTATATAGCCCAAGATACTGGAGACAGGAGTATGGGGCAAGGATAGGGTCTGCTGAGAAGACATTAAACAATAAGAGAGGCTGGCCCAGGAGAGAGGGTATGTGTCCTGCTGGCTGAGCAGGATGGGTGGGGCTTCCTAAGCCCTTAAGTCAACTGTGTTTCATCAGAGACCTCTCATACTAAACTGGAGCTATATGACTAGGTATTTGCCATCCAAGATGTTGGTCTTTGGTCTGATTCCAGTTTTGTCAAATTACTTGTTGAAAAGGCTGTCAATTCCAGTTCCTAGCTTTGGACACCTTGACACAATTACATGTCCATTTCATTACTGTTTATCTCTTGTTCTTACATTGTGTTTGTCTGTATGTTTATTTTTATGTGAGTCCAGTGCAGTCCTTTTCACTATGGCTATTCAGTAGAGTTTGAGGTCATGTACTATACATGGAATACATCTGCATGTCTTTTTGTTATCTATTGTTTTCTTTTGGTAATGCTTTTGATTAGTTGTCTTACCTTTTGTTTTTCTTATCGCCCTATGTGAATCTTATTTGAGAGTCAAGGATCAGAGAGTCCCCCAAGGATCAAAGGCCTATACAAAACTTTGTCCAGGAAACCCAGAAAACCGAGGTACCTGTTAATTCAAGTACTTTGTACCTGGCATTTGGTCCCTGGGAACTCCTTTTGGGTTGCTTTGAAGGTATGGAAATTAACTATCTAACAGTAAAAAAGAGTAAATAGATATGCCCTAGGTGAAGGGAAAAGGGCTTCAGTCCTTCAAGGCTGGACCCCCCTGCAGCCATGAAAGGCTAGATTCATTCTTTAGATGCCTCTGTGTCTTCATTCCACGGACCCGCGTGAACCCACACAACCGGGGAGTGACTCACACAGCTACAACTGAAAGATCAGAGGAGCAAAGGAGCAGCCACTAGTGTCTTCTTACCTCTCCAGATCCTCAGACCAAATGGGAGTACAAACTAGGAGCCTGTCTCTACCCACTTTATATTTCCATCTCCACCTCCCAAGTGCTGGGATCAAAGGGGTGAACCTCCCAAGTGCTTGAATCAAAGGTGTGAGCCTCCCAAGTCCTAGGATTAAAGATGTGAGCCACAACTGCCTGGCCTCTGGTTAACCAGTGGCTAGCTCCACAGTCTGATCCCCAGGCAAGATTTGTCAGAACACAAAATATCTCACAACAATGAACTAAGTTTACTTTAAACTTGTTTTGAGGTACATGTTTTATGATGTATTTTAATAACACCAGAAGTCTATAGAATTAGAGATATAAATTGGTCTCTCCTTCCAATCTTGTCTCTGTCAATAAATTTCATTTGTATTTAGGAATATTGTAAATACAATTTTGGACACATCAGAGCCATTAAAGTTATGTTTTAATTGTCCCTGTTTTAACAGCTTACAGTAAACTAGTAAACTCAAGAATGAGATGCTTTTTTGGGATATGTATCAATAGTAAGGTTAAGAACTGTATATCCAGTCCTTCGTACGTCACAATCAATATCCAATCATCCTGTCTTCTAGTGAGTGTATGTGGTTTTTGTCCTTTTTACAGTACGGGTCCTTGTTTCTATGACAATGGAGATGATATTGAAAGAAAAAAACACTGTTGTCAACTTACAGCACACGAGTGTGGCCGTCATAAAGTTTACAGAGGGTCTGCATCCTACTGGGAAGGCGTCGTGAGGGATGAAGTGAGTGGACTCCTAAGATGGCTCAGATGCCAAGAACTAAGGGAAAAGAATTTATTGCTCCCCAAATATGAGATACAGCCAGACTCACGTTGTGTTTTCCACTTGTCTTTGCCATGAGTAAAAGACAAACAGTGACCTCCCCACCTCCCCTCTCTTCTATATCTACAGTGATCACAGCTGCTTTGGTTACTGGTTGTTCATCATTATTAAAATTAAGAAACCAGAATACCAGTCAAATGAACTTGGTTGTAAGACATAACTTCTATATTTGATTTATTTATAAAACAAATAGTTTATTAATAGGTATATCTCATGTACACATTAGAGAAAACACAGAAATGAAGAAACCTCTAAAGTAGATTGCAAGGAAAGTTTCTCAGCTTCAGGCATAAATCCCATTCTTGTCAATAACAAAGAAAGGTTGCTATGTAGAAAGGTCCTGTTTGTGGTTAGCAAGTCACTTTGAAAAACATCATTTACTCTGTGTTTTTGAGTCATTGTTTTCTTCCTGCTTGGAGTCTTTCTACATCCAGTTAACACATTATTCCTAAGAAAGGAATGTTTCCTTACAAATAGAAATATCTTTTATAGATTAACGTCTTTCTATAAGGAGTGATTTTTCCAAGGTACAGCCTGTGTAGAAAGCATCTCTTATGAACAGCTCAAGAGAATACCATAGCAGAGACACATAATCTCAGGAGTAAAGAGTATAGTAGAGACACACACGCTCAAGTGGCATTTCTCATTTTTTTCTTTTTTCTTTTAAGTCCTATTATTTAAAATGTGTCAAAAAAAAAAAAAGATATCACGTGTCAAAATTAGCAAGAACCCAAACTATATAACTCATGAACTTTCTGTACAGTTATGACAGACATTCAGAACAAAAGCTTAGGAGTTCACACCGGATTTCATGCTGTCTCTTTTGAATATATTTATGCACTTACACACCAGCAAAAAAAACAGAGTTAGAAACAGAAACACAGTTATCTCACTTCCTCTTTCACAACCCATGTTCAGTACCTGCTGTCAATCCTTCCTCATCTCCTAATATTTAGCCTGTATTCTCTTTTCTACATGGCATACTATACTCATATGTAAATTTGTTCACATATGTACATTTATTATAGTCTAGATTACATGTATGAGGGAAAAATACAGTTTTTCTGAGATTGTGTGACCTCAATATATATTCCAAGGCCATCAATATTACTGCAGATTTTGTGATATTTTTTAGTGCTAAAAAGCATTTGTGTGTGTATATATATATATATATGTTATATATATAATATATATACACTTATATGTAATAAAGTCTCCATTAATATGTTCATGAACACCTATGTTAACTCAGGTTCTTTACTGTTGTGAGTAAAAAAGCCAAATAAATATGGGGCACAAATATCTCTACAGTAAGGTGTGAGGTTCCCTGCACATAGCCCAGGATTGAAACAGTGGGGACAGTGCAGAGACTAGAGCCCGAGTTCCAGTGGTGTGATGTCATAATGGGTGTGGGGTGCTGACTTGTGAGGTTCCAGTGGTCACTGCGGAACCCAGAGTCTCATAGGCCACTTGGGGGCTGTGGCTCTCACCACAGCCTGTAGACAGCAGGCTGCACTGCATCTGAAGTTTAGTACCTGCCTCCAGCAGGCTCATATGGTCCAAGGGTGGCCAAGGATTTGACCCCATGTGGTCACCTGGGTGCTTAGAGGGGGAGCCCTACCTGCACTGACATCTGAGTCCCCTGGATTCAATACCTGATTGCAGGGTGCTCTCCTATGGATGTGTGGGTAGCCTCATGTATTTATGGGCCAACTGTGTACCCCAAGCTGGGAGGAATGACGGTGTACTCAGGTTATTGTTCAGTGATTTGTCCAACTTTCTTTCCTGAAGCATGTTAACACTGAAGAAGGCCAGCTGTGATTATTTTGAGTAGGCACGGCTAGTGTTATGAAGATGGCAACTGTTTCACCATGACGATATTGTACAGCATTATTTTAATAAAAGAATGTTGAAGCCAAATTACACATGCAGGGTAATGTAATAAGTTGGTATTACCTATGTACATACTGTTAACCATCTTAACATGTAAGATTCCTGGTAATTGTATAGAAAACATAAGACAGCTTTTATGGTTTATACAGCATGTAGAGTTGTCAGAATTGTTATTAAATATGTTTACAGCATCTAACAGAATTTTGCTGAGAGGGCCCTGATAAGCCTATGATGCTGTCTGTAATTGTTACTGAGAGATTTTAGACATAGTCCCTCCTATGCTCATTATGTATCATTTGCTTTTATTACAAACGCCTTTATTCTAAGAGATGAACATTAGTAGTCTCCATTCCACATAGGTTCCTGTCAGGTGTTCTGAGGCACACAATGTCTTTCTCTTGGCTGTTTGTTGATCTCCTTTTCCTCTGTCTCAGGGTCAGGGGACTGACTCAGTTCAGGAGATTTAGACCTTAGAGACACACATGCTTGGTTCTGACAACGGGATGCCAAATCCTAGCTTCAGAGCCAAGCTTTCCAGTTTGATAAGACAGCATATGTCCATAGGATTGTAATATTGCCCATACATGAGAGAGCATTGTTTTCTACAATGGAAAAGGTGAAACACAACCAAGAGTGGCCAGGCTTGTTGGGGCAGAAACAAAGGTAGATCACAGGCATAAGGCAAAGGAATCTCAGGGACAGAGGGAATCTCCTATCTTAGCTACAGGAAGCAGGCTTAGAGAACTAACAGAAAAGTGAGGCACTAGGACCCAGTGGAGCTTCTCTAACTTGAGAGCCACATAGGTAAGGTTCCCTCTAGCACAGAAAAGGTGGCCCCACATCCCGTGGCTGCAGTTCATTGGCCCCTGGCCTCTTTGGTTGATTAGGCTTTGTGGTAGTTTGAATGTAATTGGCCCTCATAAGGTCATTGTGATTAGCACTATTAGGAGGTGTGGCTTTGTTGGAGTGGGTGTAGACTTTTTGGAGGACCTGTGCCATGGTAGGGGTGGGCTTTGAGGTCTCTTATGCTCAACATATGCCTAGTGTCTCAGTTCACTTCCTCCTTGTCTGCACAAGATGGAGAACTCTCAGCTATGTGTCCAGCACCATGTCTGCCTGCACACTGCCACGTCACACCATGATGATAGTAGACTAAACCTCTGAAACTGTAAGCCATGCAATTAAAGATTGTCCTGATTAGAGTTGCCATGGTCATAGTGTCTCTTGACAGCAATAAAAACCCTAACTAAGACAGGCTTCCTGATGCCTGTGGTCTCAGAAGGGTAAAAAAGTACAGAGGGAATGATCTAAGCTTGCCAACACTGCAGCTCCTGCTCAAGAGGCTCCTGCCCACACCATAGGTGGTCCTCTCCCTCCACCGCAGGATGTGAGCACAAGAATGCAGCCCACTTCTGGTCTGCTCATCATGTGCTTGGTTTCTTTAAGGTAACTGGACTCTTAGTAAACATCCAACAAATTCTTATGACCCCATGAGTAGAAGCAACTGATATCTCTAATTACACACTGGCTATTTTTTCAGCAATGGGAGCTTTTGGTGGGATAACACAATGCATAATGAATTTCAAAAATGTCAAGGGTACTAAAACTGAAAGGCCACTAGGTATTGGGCTGGACAATAAGTTTGTTGGAGTTATAGTAAGAGAGGAGGCATAAGTGAGCATGAGAATAGCAAGAGACATCAAGGGCCACTGTGAATGCCCTGGGAGTTAAAAGAAATTAATGAATGCTTTAAAGATCCCCCATACCTAATAAGTTACATTACAAATTGAAGAGGCATGATTGTCATTAACCCATTTGTGTCCCTACATTTTTGATAGACTGGTCTCTTACATATGAATAAGGAAATGATTGTTTTGTCCTTAGCTAAATCAGACCCTGACATGATATTATAGGGCTATAGGTTAAGTTACAACCCCATACACAACAATGGTTTATATGCAAATACCCACACTGAGGATTTTCACAACAAATGATTGATAGTGTAGAAAGTGGGAAAGTAGTGAGGTGTCAGCGCCTGCTGACAGTCCGCAGGGTAGTTGGGTAGAGGCGCACAGATTGTAGAGGCAATGAAGAAGACAGAAAAGAGTCGAGAGGTCTGCCGGTCAATGCCAGACAGCCCCAAGTTTATTTCACAGCCAGCTTATCTACAGTTTTGAAGGACAGAGGTACAATAATGCATGGCACAGGAATTCAACCACTGTCTATCCTGCCTTGAGTCAAGGAGCAGGCAGTTTCATTTTCTATCTTGATGTACCTCTGACTAGCATCAGCAGCCTGCATCTAGCTAGATAGTATGTTCCTTCCTGTGGGCTAATCAGGACTTTCTCACAGCCCTGGAGCAGGCAAGCTTGAACTCTATTGACTCAGAATAGACTTCAGATTAAACTGGGAAACTGAGTCAGTTGTGGGCTCCCACAGTGAGGCTACTAAACAGTACAGTTATAATTAACAGTATAAACAAAGGATAAAATACAGAGAGAAATTACGACTGCAGCAAGACGTCCAGAGACAGTAAGCAAACTGATATTGTGGGAAATCCCACAAGCCTTTAGACATGGGTTAGGAACAGCAAAATCCATGTAAATGTGGAAGAAGTGTGCTGGACTGAAAAGTGTTGAAGCAAACAGAAATGGAATCAGAACAAGGTGGATTTCACTATCACCTCCTGTCCAGATAGATCTTGGAGAATCTTCCAAACTCCTACCCTCCTGTTCAAGAAAAGGGCATATTCTAAATTAAGGTTTGAAGATACATATTTCTGAGACTCACTCCAAGTACACCTATATGTGATGAGATCACCTATGCTGTAGCTGACTTTCAAACTCAGTTGTCCAGAATCAGTTGATAAGATCTAAAATGACCTAGGAGTCCAACTTCTGATAATGGCTCTTAGAGAACTTCTGTAGTAGATTTTTTTAAGGCAAGAAACCCCTGTCTAAACATGTGGTGGCTCCATACTTTGGGTGTCAGCCCTTGACAGCATAAACAGTGTTGAACAGAAGCATTCATTACTCCCTCCATCAGGACTGTGCATGTGATTTGACCAAGAGCAATTTCCTCTGAAGGGATATATTGCTTTCTGGAGGGGACCACCATTACCCTTAGGGAAATTATCATGTGACAGGCATGGGGAATTCATAGTTATTTACAAGACTCACTGGACCCTCCCTGCTGAAGGCTGTATAAACAGTAAAGATTGAAAGGGAGAAAACTCCCTCATCAGTGGAGCTGCCTGCAAGTCATGCATTGAGCTGCAGGCATGCAACTTTCCTGAGTTCTTACTCTGAGTCCAGTCAGATTTTCAGTACTGTTGATGTTGCTGCCTTGAGTCATCCATGCTCCTGTTCTAATCCCTCATGCAAACTCTGGTCTGCAATCTCAGTAATAAACTTACTGCTTCATAAAGATGGGGGCATAGGTGGAATCATTGCTGTGTCTGTCCTCAGAGCCTCATCTGAGGTGTGTAGACATTCTTTCTCTTCCACATTGGAAAATCACAGAAAAGAGTGTCTTTTTTATTGCTGTGATACAACACATAAAGAAGTTTTGATGTGTTAATCTAATTAATCTTATCAATAAAAAATCAGGAGTCAAGCCAAATGAATGGAAACACATGAACTATGAACCAATGGCTGAGGGGTCCCCACTGGATCAGGCCCTCTGAATGGATGAGACAGTTGATTGGCTTGATCTGTTTGGGAGGCACCCAGGCAGTGGGACCAGATCTTGTGCTCATTGCATGAGTTGGCTGTTTGAAACCTGGGGCCTATGCAGGATTGTTTGGCTCGGCCTGGGAGGAGGGGACTAGACCTACCTGGACTGAGTCTACCAGGTTGACCTCAGTCTGTGGGGAAGGCTTTGCCCTGGAGGAGTTGGGAATGGGGGGGGGGGTTGGGGGGAAGGTGAGGGGCCGGGAGGGGGAGAACAAGGGAATCCGTGGCTGATATGTAGAACTGAATTGTATTGCAAAATAAATTAATAAAAAAAAAATCAGGAGTCAAATATTTCAGTAAGACCCTGAAAGTTCAGAGAAGCAGGGAGGCACTTCCTACCTCTACTGTTTCTCCATCCAAAAGGGCCGAGATCCTGTCTCTGCCCACCCTTACTACTTCCTGCCTTCTGTCTACAGTTCTCCAAACCTCTATGGTTAATTTTGGTCAGCTAATGGCTAGCTCTACCCTCTGACTCCAGCAAGCTTTATTTGTCAGACACAATCAAAATAACACACAACAAAGTTTGATTTGCTGCACATGATTAAAGAGCTGAAAAGTTCTCTGCAGAGAGCATGGAAGCAGTCAGGCACTCATGGTCCTGGAGCAGTAGGACAGAGCTTCCTTCTTGATCCACAGATAGAAGGCAGGCAAAGGCATAGGATTCTGTAACCTCAAAGCCCAGCTCCAGGGACACATCCCTTGTGACAAGGCCACACTTCCTAATCTTTCCCAAACAGTTCCTACCAACTGGTGCCCAACCATTCAATTTTATGCACCTATAGGTGCCATTCTCATACTAAACCACAGTGACTTTGAAGTTATAAACAATGTTAAATCTGCTGTAATTTTTAGTTTAACTCCTAAATGATCAATCCTGGTCCTTTGTAGTGAGCCCACATTCAATGTGCTCTGAGCCAAGAGCACATGCATGGATGTCTCTATCTTGTGGAAGTGCAATTTCATTTGAAAATGAAATAGTATTGAAGAGTCTCTATGCTCAAAACTACACTTGTAGGGAAGTCTTTCAAGGGTCATCACCCACAGACAAAAGAAACTGTGCTATGGTGCCTGGCACCATCCCAAGATGGACCCCAACTGGAAAGCATTTTCCACATTGTACTAGTTTCATAGATATTTAAGATGCATCATGTATGTCAACATGGAGCTTTGTAGCCCTATTAAAGAGACCAGCTTCATGAGGCAATGTGTGGGATGCACATTGTCCCTCCCAAGAGTCCCTGTGTGGTCACTCTTGTGGAATAATCTTTTTGTACCTTGTGAAGATGTGTCACTCTGATTGGTTTAATACAAAGGTGAATGGACACGAGTTAAGCAGGATTTCCATGCCCAGAGGATGCTGGGAAGAAGAAGGACCGAGATGCTAGGAGAAGCACAGGAGGCAGCATGGGCAACACAGAGTAAAGGTAGCTGAGCCAGGTTAAAGAATGTAAATTAAAAGATAGGAGTTAATTTAAGTTAGCTGTTTAGAAACAAGCCCAAGCTATCAGCTGATCTTTCACAATTAATAATACGACTCTGTGTCATTATTGGGGAGCCAACGGTCCTGACAAAAAAAGTCCATCTACAGGTTACTACATGAAGCAGTGCAGTTGATAGCTAAGATGCATTGGAGAGCCTTCGTATTCTCATGTAGAACCACAGCAAACCCAAGACCGAGGCTATATGTAATTCACTCCCCAAGCGGGTACTTAGGTTGACACAGTTTTCAGTCTTGATGATCCTATCAAGGATTCCAGATGCCATGCCTGTGATCTTGCAGTATTTGGATTTTCACACATTCCTGTCTTGTGTTCCTGTCTTTGCTTGGTAGATGGCTACTCCTCCCTTCGCAATAGCAGATTTCCAGTTCTCCATGGCATGTTGTAAACACTGTGGGATATGCAATTGGATGACAAATTCAAGAGACTGAACTTTGACAGTTTTGGAACTATTAAAGTCCAAGGAGATTTTGAGGAATGGACTAATTGCCTTTCCTAGTAAGAAATGAAAGTGAACCTGGGGGAGATTGCCAGGGTAAAGATTTAAAGTGAGGTATTTTGTTATCAAACACCAATGAGCTCATTTGATATGTCTTATATCTTTGCATTTGAGAAAGAAGACTTTCTGTGTCCTGATTTGGGGAAACTAAGGGAAATTCAAGGCAGATTCACTCAACTTTCAAAATGTCACACAGGAAATAATTCAGTATCATGGACGACAAAGGAAATTGAACATGGCAGATCAAACCTCTGCATAGGGAATTCCAATAACATACAATGGGCCAGTGGTCATTATACACACCAGTATGATCCAAGGAGCTGTGTCCCTCTACCTAGAGAGGAGAGAGGAGGCAAGCATGAGCTCCTAGCATACATGGTGGCGAATATGCACCTGTGTTTGTGAAAAACCATGGAGACACTGGTAAAATTCTAGTAGAGCTCTCATAAAAAATGAATTTCTTACATAGATTAACAGTTTAAAGTTTTTCAAGAGACTTACTGACAGGTGAGAAAATCCTGAGATGGATTATGGGAGAGAGTTGGACTTTTAACTTTGTGCAGCAATTTATACCATTTCTGTGTCCCTGATGAACCTTCTACACTGTATGGATTACAATGTTCACATCTAACTATTTTTCAAGCTATGGAGTTGAATCCATGCATACCTCACACAGCGTGTCAGTGGAGAAGAACAAAGATTATTGACTAATTTGTAGTATTGGGCATTAAGACAAAGCCTACTTTATATTCAAGTGCTTTACCATTGGCTACCTCAGCAATGTGTGTGTGTGTGTGTGTGTGTGTGTGTGTGTGTGTGTGTGTGTGTGTGTGTGTTGGTTTTTTTGAGACAGGGTTTCTCTGTGTAGTTTTGGTGCCTGTCCTGGATCTCGCTCTGTAGACCAGGCTGGCCTCGAACTCACAGAGATCTGCCTGGCCCAGCCTTCCGAGTGCTGAGACTAAAGGCTGTGTGTGTGTGTGTGTGTGTGTGTGTGTGTGTGTGTGTGTGTGTGTGTGTGTGTGTGTGTGTGTTTTAAGGAAGAAAAGTCCATAAATTATCCATCCCAGCCTAGTATCTTCCAGAGGTCAATGGGGAGTTAGGAACATAGTCAGGCACACTAAGGCTACTTCCAAAAATCATCTTAAAATCATTCTTTTCATTCTTACATTAGTGTATTTCTTTGTAATTTAAAAGCAAAACCGAGTCAAAGTGATTGTTTTTGTTTTTTCCATGCTGTGGTATGATTAAAATCACAAGATATGGACCAGAAATGTCCTCTAAGCCTAATATTTCCGTCAAAAGCTCGACTCACATTCACACATCTAGTGTTGTGGATCTGAAAGTGAACGCCAGCCTCACTCCCCATCCCTGACCTGCTGAATCCGCTTTTTCTGCACATTTTCTACTACAGTAGCTGGGCACAAATCCAGGAACAGAAGATATCACCAAACCAGGGCTCCCGGAATTTTTACGCGCAGACTTGTGGGAAATGTAGTCTGGTCCTTGTGACATCACAGGGACCCACTCCGGAAACAGTACTTGTGCATTCTGTCTGAAAGTGTGCTATTTCTCCAAAGTTGTGCGAGAGTCCTGCCCTGCTCTACATTCCTGTTGGGTCTCTGGCACGGAGGTTGGTCCAGGGTGCAGCGCGGCCTGACGCACTGTGCAGGGTGCCGGGGTCCGACTTGGAGGGAGAGGACCTGAGTGGGAGGGCGGAAGAAGCTGCCTTGGAGGTGCTGTGCTGAACCGGCTGGGTCACGTGAGGTTGCAGGTCAGGGCTGGGGAGAGGGCGATAGAGATTGTACCCTGAGTGATGGTTTCCTTAGGATGCCGCGTGCAGCCGAGTCTGCCTTGGTCTTCTGGGACAGGAGAGCTGCCTGGGAGCGCGGAGTAGATGATAATGCAAAGTCCAGGATTGCAAACTAATGATGGTCAGCTGACTGCCTGCTCCTGAGGTGGAGCTGGGAGCTCAGTGAGCAGCTTTGTTGGGGAAGCATGCTTCTCTAGCTGAGTCTAGCTGAGTCGTTCTCACATGGACGCTGTCAGATTTCTCAGAATCTGTAGAGCAAACGGGTTCTGGTCCTTCCTGAACTCTGTAGTCGGCCTACAGACTCTTGATTGTGTTCATTTTGTCTACCAGTTAAAGAAGTAGGAAAGGAAAAATCTGAGGCGCAACAGGTCGCATGTAAATTCTGGAACACAGTAAATAGATCTGCCAGAATCCGCTGCAATAGATAAACTTTGACTGGGGGTGAGAGAACACACATACACCCCCACACACAGAGGGACCCTCTGCAGAAAGAAGGAACTGGAGAAGCTGACTCCGGGCCACACCTGGAGGGCTGGGTTTTCTTAACTTTTGAAAGGTCCTCCATCCTTAATGTAGGATGGACTAACTGTAAAAACGCAGGATGTCTGCTTGGCCCAAAATGATTGTGTGGGGTGGACCACAACGGTTGTGTCAACGTCTCGACCTGGTCTTGAACTTGTTGAGCTAGTCCAGAAGCAGGGTGTCGAGGAACAGATGAAAAACTCACATGACCTTGGGTTCCAGTGCCAGGTTTTTGTGTCAGGTCAGCAGGGTGAGGAAGAACTCACAGACTGTGTGTATTCATGTGATTTACAGTAAACAGACCTTTTATAGAAAAGAAACTTGAGTCTACTCTATTGCACATCTCTGTCATCTCTACTAAAATCCAAAAATACGTCTACTATGTAGAGCAAAGCATGTGATACTTATTTTGAAACTGAAATTATAATTATATAATTCATGTTTGCAAAATAAATACTATAATTGGTCTCCCATATCTTTTCATGGTTTAATCCACTTTCTGAGTCATAAAATTGCAAAACTTCATGGCTTGAAGCAAAAAGTAGTGATTGTTTCATGGCACAGTTATCTGAGACAAAGATCTTGTAGTTGCTACTTCATGGTGTGTGTGCTGTGTATTGAAAGCACTGTGTTATGTAATCGGTAGATCGGCGATTTTCAATGGAGGGTTATTATTTTTTAGTTCCTGACCAGGAATCCAGTCTTCTCTTTGCATATCATTTTCCAATTTTCCAGGACACTTCCCAATGTCCTGCTAGTCTTCAGTTTTGTGTGACTCTCTGAAAAGATCTCTGAGGGACACCAACAGGGGATGCAAGAGTTCTTATTACATCTACTCTGTTCATTCTGTTGTCCTAGGCTCGCCTCTAGGACCGGCCACCATTCAAGTGGAGTTCTATATCCACCTCCCAATTATAGGTAGAATGTGTAACAATTTCTAATGAATTGCAGTGTGGCCCCTCAGGCCAGACATAGTTTGCATTTTTCCCCATTAAAAGTGAATTTTGCCAGTTTCAAATGCCCCTGAAATGTTTGCCATGGATAATATTGGGTGAAATCCCTCATAAATGCTATACTGTTAACAGGTGCACTGCCCACCACTCACACCCGAGAACTGCTGAGAGAGGAAGAATTAGTCTTCCCAGGATGAGAGCGCTCACTGTTCATCCACTAACAAGTGGTCAGTCCTCAAAATACAGACAGGCAATACGGGACGGAGTCGGCCAGTCATATTTATGTGTGTGTGCGTGTGTTGGTGTGCTCTGTGCGTGCAACAATAGTAATTAGAGAACAATACACTATATGTAATTGACTCTTAGGGGACATGAGAGAAGTTGCAATGAGATAGAGGGGAAGTGACATACTTCTATGTAGGGGACATTGCAGAAGCCAGCAACAGAGTGTTTGAGGAGGTAATGATACCATACCTAAGAAAGAGGACCCAAAGCGTAACCATGAAATTATTACAAAATACCTCACTATTACATAAATTGTTGATATTTCTTGCATTGATAAAAAGGAAAAATAATGTGTTACTATTCTTATAGGTCATTCTGTGACTTTACTCAATAAATTGTGAAAACTAAATTCTAAAATTAGCAAATTTTGAAATCAGGAAATAGCATGAGCAATTGTACTTCTCAGCTTTAGCACAGAGATGCACAGGTGTCACATGTGCAAAACATGCTCTAGGAATACCGCAAACACCTCAATCAACACCTGTCAGAAAAGACAGAAAGGCAAAATGGTTTAAAAAATCAAATGATGTGTATTTTATGTTAAATTCTCAATAGCATTGTTAGTCCTGTACTTGCCTGTTTTCTTACATGATCAGATACTTAAATGACATTCAGTCTGTGAGTTCCTCCCCCTGCCTGCTCCCTCTCATGTCCCATGTCACCATCATTTGTACCATTAGTGAATCTGTAGAAATCCTGAAACCCAGATGACGGCCCGAGCTGCTGTATCAGACTCTATTTTCATTTCACTTCACATTCATGACTGTGCTTATCAACTGTTGAGAAATTCCTTCTCCCCGACCATGACTTTCTCCTGTGAGAAATGTATATATGTGGTGTACAGTAGCATATGGTACTAAATGTATGTTCTGTGGATGCATTCATTTTATATTTCTGTCTTAAATGGATCGTGCTCAACTGAATTTATAGGATCTTTTGCCTTGACTTTCCTTGAAGATGGATCCAGTGTGAGATCATGTAACCACACTGGACATGTCTGAGGAATAGTACTCACCTATGTAAGAAACATTTCTAGCTTCTTTCATCCTGGGAAAAATCTAGATTTGTGTCCACAGGCACATGATGCCTGTGTTAGGGTTTCTATTGCTGTGATCAGGACCATGATGAAAGACAGGTTGGAGAAGAAAGGGTTTATTTTAGACTACAACTTCAGGTAACAGTTCAAGGTAGGAACCTGAGGCAAGAACTGAAGCAGAGGCCAGAGAAGAGCACTGCTTCTTGAATACTTGCCCAGCCTACTTTCCTCTACCATATAGGAATGCCTGGCCAGGACAGGCACCACCCATAATGCCCTGTGCTGTGTCAAAGCAATCACTAATTAAGAAAATGCCCCTTAGACAGGAAAACTCTCCAGCCCAATGTATATTGGTATTTATATTATTAATGGATTTGCTTAAACTAAAGTGCAGTATCATTCATTGATCTTTATTCCAGGAAATGCTGTCCTTCGGGGATGTGGCCATTGAATTCTCTGCAGAAGAGAAGGAATGCCTGGAGCATGCTCAGTGGAATTTGTACAGGGATGTGATGCTGGAGAATTACAGCAACCTTGTGTTCCTTGGTGAGGATCACATATTGTGAATTCTTATTTCACCATCAACATGTAGCTTCCTCACTTTGTATGGTATCTCATGAGAGCATTTCAACAGCTATTTTCAAATCCTTCGTTTTCTGAAAAATTGGGGAGATTGCTGTATTAAGAATCATTTTGGGGTTGGTGTGGTTAAGAGCACTAATTACTCTTCTAGAGAACTGAGGTTCAATTCCCAGCACCCACATAGCAGTTCACAACTGTCTGTAATTCCAAGACCTGACACACTCACACTGATATACACAAAGGCAAACACCAATGCCCATAAAAAATAAAAATAAATCATTAAAGAAAAATAATCATTTCACTGTTTTTCTTTTTGTGTTTAACCTTTCTGTGTTGGATGTACGTTTCCTTCACTCCAGTGGGACTGTTAGAAATTCAATGTCACGAGACATGGAGTACACTTGTTAATGAAAGTGTTTCACAATTCAGTTTTAATTTTTTTTCCCTTTAAGTGAAACTCAGAATGCTTTTTAATTCCTTGTGTAATATAGTTATCCTGTAAGAAAACATTTAAGGAACTGATTGTCTGCAATCATTTATTACATCATCTCTTTCCTTATAAGCCATGTACTGGAAGGCACATGTCAATTCCAAGTAAAAGAACACATAAACAATCTTGTTCCCTTTTTCTGCAAACAGGTCTTGCTGTGTCTAAGCCACACCTGGTGACATTTTTGGAGCAAAGACAAGAATCTTCAGATGTGAAGGAACAAGCAGCAGCCATTGTGCACCCAGGTATGTAGGAATGAGGGGTTCAGGGGCAGAGTTGAGGTCCAAATATCCAGTAGAAAGGCAGGCTTTCTCATCTGCTTTGAAACATGATCCTATGGGAATCATTCTTTAGGTCTCTCCTTCATGTCTTTGTTATCCAAGGAGCACATCTCTCAGAAGTTTATGATGGCTTAAAAGTCTTAAGCTTTGTATTTCCCCAACAGTGAGCTGTGCTTCTATTTACAGTGACTTCCAAGGTTTTTCTTTTTGTTTATTCTCCATTGTAGTGTAAGACTCAGGGAAAGAGAATTCTGTGTTGGTCAGACTCTGAGTCATTTATTTACAGAGTTTGAGAACAGACTCATGCCAGAAAGATCTCTACACCAAAGTGAGCATGATTGGGTTTATAAAGCCAAATCCACAATTCCATCTCAGAGAGGCAGGAGGGGCAGAAGGCTCAACAGTTTCAGTTCTGTTGATTATAACAATGTGGGGGTGGGGAACAGTTGGATAAGACTCAGACAAACCAGAGTTATTTTTGACAGTTCATTCAGTGGAGCCATGCTGCTTCTGATTGCTAGCTGCAAATGAATGCATGGCTCGTTTAAGAAATGGTTCCTGGGTCTTACTAGCTGAGCAGAAAGGCAGCTCAGTGTGGTAATTCCATCTTTGTCCTAGGGAAAGCTAAATTAAAAGTGGCTCTGTAGCTGGGAGTGAAGTTTCAGCAATGTTTGTTTGAACTTAGTTGAATTGTTGTATTCAGGGGAACTGCAATGAATTTAGGTAAAGGAACTGCTCCCCAACTGGCTACTGGCTAAGGTCTGCCACTGGGCCCACTTCCCCAGGTCCCTGAATGTCTAAGAAGGCCCAGCAGGGAAGGTGGCTGGAGGGGATGGGAGAGCAGTGGCATTATCCAGAGTGTTGCAGCCCCCTGGCAGCAGCACTCACCGAATTCCAGGGTCAAGGGAGCTGATTACAAAGACTCTAGAGCCACTGACAAATTAGGCTCTGATTCCAAACTTTTAGGAGAAAAGACTTTACTTTAAGACTGTAATTAGAACTGACTTTACTGAGCCTTTGCAAATGTCAAAAATGAAACAATTTTGAGTTCACCTACAGTTTTAACTGTGGTGACTCACGGTTCATGTACCCTTTGTTTTGTTAGAAGACAATATAAGTAATTCTTTTAAGAGATATCTTTTAGATGTTTTCTAAAGTTTGTAAACTAGTCCTATAGAGAGTTTGCTTTTGAATGTAAGAATTGTAAATATGTATAGTAATATTCATACTAGAAATATGTTGATATTAATGAACCATGGTTTGGTGAAGCTTAAGGAGTCTTTAAGTTTGTTGCAGTTGCATCTGAAGTTTATTGATTTATTTGATACATTGATTTTAAAAAAGGGCTTGGCATAGCTAAGGCTCTTATAGACATCTTAAATGCATTCTAAAAGGACATTCCATCTTGGTCATTCTCTATTCCTTTACTGGGGTGTGTGGCAGTCCTAGGGATTGCTGTGGTTGTTTCAACTATTTGCAAGCTCTTAGTAGAGACCTAAGTCAGAGCTGAGTTAAGCTGTGTACTTCCCCTGCGAGAGGCTGGTAGTCAGGGATGGGAAACATTCTTCTTGCTAGCTTCCAATCTAAGACAGAGTATGCTTGATGGACAGTGTATCTCATGAACAGGTAAGGTTGACTAGAGAAGAAGAATGACCTAAGGCAGGTACAGTCTATCTGAGGGGTCTGACGGGCCCTTTAATACATTAAGAAGGGGGAGCTGTGGAGATCTACAGAGGTTTCCTAGTGAGATCTGAGCTTGCTTTACCCAGCAGGGCTACATAGGGGAATGATTGGACCACGGGCATGGTTGCCAGATGTTTGGAAGGGTCTCCACTTGGCTGTGTGGTATGCTTTGATCTAGCAAGGGGGAGGTCTTTTGCCCCACCCCTTGGCATTGTTATAAGAAGCCCCTTTGAAGAGACAGAAGGGGCCTGTGGATTTGATCCAGGTCTTCCCGAAGCTATCCTGTGTTTCTGTCTTTCTCTTCTCCACTATCTTTCTATCTAAAACATTTCTTATCCTCTCTCCTCCTCATAGGAACCCTTTAAAAGGTGAGAGCAGGCTTCCTGCACTTGACACATTTAGAATGCGATGCAGAGTCTAAGATCCTCCTCAGCATGAGAGAATACACACCTTGTCTTATGGGACATGAGGAGTGATTTGTCTTCCTTACAGATAAGGCATAGGATTTCCTGGTCTGGTTTATGGGCTGGAGGGAGACAGAAGCAGCAGACACTGACAAGTCCTATTCCCCATGCATCCTTATCTTGTGTTGAGACTAGAATGCCATAGTAGGTTTGTGTCCCATCTGAGGGTACGTGTGGTAATCTATCCTGGGTGTGTCCTGCCATGCAAGTGTAGTGTAGATTTAACTCTTTTTACTCAAGCATACAAGCGTTCAATTGCAATAATCAGTTTTATATGCTTTTGTTTTGTTGTTGTTTTCAAGGCAGGGTTTCTCTGCATAGCCCTGGCTATGCTGGAACTGGCTTTGTAGTCTAGGCTGGCACTGAATCAAAATGATCTTCCAGCTCCTGAGTGCTGAGATTAAAGGCATATGTCACCACTCCTGGCCCAATAACCAGTTACTTCAAGTACATCTAATTTTGATATTATTCCATAGTAAGCAAAAAATAGTTGAACTTAGATTTGATTCTGTTACTTGCTTTAGGCTTAACTTTCATGCCATGTACAGAGTACTGTATAATGGAAGGTAGAAATTTCTCTCTAATATTGTTTCTGTAAATGAATTATATTTGTATTTAGCGTGAATACAAACACACCTTTGGGTACACTATGTTTATTTCATCATTCAATAGGTGACTCATCATTAACTATTATGTCATAATTACCTTTGTTGTAACAGCTTACAATAAATTACTGACTCTTATCAGATTAGGACTTAATAAATGAAAGTAATTCATCTCTGTTAAAAATTTCACACTCTAAAATTATGAGTGTTGAACTGAAAATCTTTTATACCAAACAAAATTTAAATATAAACACAATTCATGGAGGAACTGGGAACCTCAGTTTCTTGAACCCTTTATAGTGTGCTTTATAAAGTCTAAGTCAGTCCTGCAGACCTTCTATATTAAGTAGCTTGTTTCATCATAATACCATAAGGGAGATCTCAGTGTGAGGGATGAGCAGGTTGAAGAGGAATAGACATGGAGTTTCCCAGACCCACTAATACAACCTCCGAAAGGATGTTGAGGCTGGAGAGATGGCACAGAGGTTAAGAGCACTGGTTGCTCTTCCAGAGGTCCTGAGTTCAATTCCCAGCAACCACATGGTGGCTCACAACCATCTGTAATGAGATCTGGTGCCCTCTTCTGGCCTGCAGACATGCATGCAGGCAGAACATTGTATACATAATAAATAAATAAAATCTTTAAAAAAAAAAAGGATGTTGGCACTGCCCATGGAAGACAGGCAGGAGGACAGAGGAACCCCACAGCGTCCAGTAGCCTTGAATCCACAGTGAGCTCAGAGAGTGGCTGACTCTGTTCCACAAGGAGGGTCAGGAAAGGTGACAAAGTGTAAGGCCCAGAACAAGAGCAGAGTGAGCACAGATGGAGTGGACTCCTTCACAGTCACTCCTTCAGCATCCACAGAGATGACAGAAGGTGTGGATTTAACTGAGTTTTATTCATTACCTCTTCAGTCAACATCTTTTCTCTTAGACAAAGACCTATGGAAGGAATCCTTGTCAGGATTTTTACCAGAATCTGGACAAGACAAAAATACCCATACCTACTCCATTGGAAGACCAGAAGGACAAAGTTGGGTTTTGTGTCAGGAAATGCATAGGTCATTCCAGCACTCTCTAACGCTAGTTTCAAAGGCTTTATAAAGCCAAACCCACAATTACATCATACCACACACAGGCTGGTGTCCTAAAATCCAAAATGGTTAGTTCCATTGGTTCAAAGAATTTGTTTTATGTTGTAAAACAGTTAATCTTCCAAACCTGCCCGTGAGGCTACCTGAGAACATTTTCTCAGCAGGATTATTTTGCTGGGGGACCAGTTGTGTAAAACTCAGGCAAAATAGTTACTTTGGACAGTTCAATAACAGACTCTGTACTATTTTCTACACATCTGAAAATTGCACACATTTCTAAATATCTAGGTGTGAAACCATTGTAAGAAACTAACTTCATACATGAGGTTCTTTCATGTCACTTACACTCATGTTGAAGAAAGTGACCCCATCAGAGTTCTCTGTTTTTGAAGAAGATATCTTTTAAAGAATTTCTTTTTCACACTCAGTAATAAGGATTTAAAGTGTATGCCCTTTGTGGATATATATTCAAAGACTAAAACTGTCTGTAGCTAGGAGTATTTGTTTAATTGATCACCAATAAGCTTTACAAATTCTGTGGTTTCAAAATTTTTTGCTTTTCGTTGCAATTTGATATTCTTTGGTATTATTTTGGAGGTGTGTATTCTCGAATATTATTAAACGACCAGCCTGAATAATATTCTTCCCAGGGCCCCAGATGAGAAACTGTGAAGGGCAAGAATTATTTTCAGGAAATGAATCTAAGTACACCATGCTCTTTGTCCATCTAATTTATTCCTCTGGGATAAAATCCTATTGTAGTTGGAAGTTTTCCTGTGTTCCAGCTGGCTGGTGTTTGGGACAAATCTCTCCCACTCATGTCCCCCAAGTAAGCACACAGAGGCTTATATTAATTATAACTGCTCAGTCATTAGCCCAGGCTTATTACTGACTAGCTCTTACACTTAAATTAACCCATAATTCTTATCTACGTTTAGTCACGTGGCTTAGTACCTTTTTTCAGTTCTGCCTTCACATCTTGCCTCCTCTGTGTCTGGCTAGCAACTCCTGACTCAGTCTTTCCCTTCCCAGAATTCTCCTAATCTGCTTATCCTGCCTATACTTCCTGCCTGGCTACTGGCCAATCAGCATTTTATTTATCGACCAGTCAGAGCAACACATTCACAGCATACAGAGTGACATCACTCATCATCCTATCTACACATCTTCAGTTCTGTTCTCATGCCTAGCTCCTTTCTTGCCTGATTTCTCTCTACCTTTATCTGCTGTCCCCTCTAAGTTCTATCTTAATTCTCTGATCTCTTAATTCTGCCTCATCTAGGTTCTTCTCATCTCAGCCTCAAGTTCTTTAGTCAAAATCCTCCTTATCCCTCTCCATTCTCCATCCAAGTCTCTGAGGTACTCAGTTATAAACCCAAGCAATAGTAATCCTCCCCCTCCAGCCAGGTCACCAGACTTGAATTCCTATAGGGTCATAGAGGCAGACAAGAATTTTCCACAGGCAGTGACTGTTAGGTTTTCTTTTACAACCCAAAAAGGTAGTGGTAAAGGAGGAGGTCAACTGAGAGCTAATGATAGGTTACAATATCAAGAAAAGGGGATTTATGTGCTCAGTCTACATTCTTTGAAGTGGTTAGGTAAGAAGTTAGGATACTGTAATGTTAGTCAGGCTGTATAAGAAAAGAGGATCTCACCTTAAATTGCATAAGAAATAAAGCTATCTGCCTGACCTAGGAGACAGGTGTTGTTTCCATAAGGGTGTTACATTAGTTTAGGAGAACATTTTCCTTGGATGCTTGATAGGTATTTTAGATAAATACACTGTTAGGTGTTCTTGGAAGCACACAAGAAAATCGTTTTAGGAACTAGCTCATATATATACAAAAGCTAAAATATCACTAAGACTTCTTAAGCCATGGCTTAATATTTGTAAGTATTTGTGATAGTAGCTGGATTTCATTACATTTTCATGTGACTTGCAGCAGTGTATAGCCTATAATCTCTCGTTATGCATCCCCTATATATTTCTGTAGATGGATAAAACACATTGATAAAGTATATAAGGACAGTGTTAAGATTACAAAATATCTAAGAGCTCTGCTTTGAGATTCCACTCTATAGGTAAATACCAGTTTCCTGTTTTCATGCCTTTTTCCTTGTCTCTCTGTTTAGTGCTCAATAGCTGTTTACTCCTGTAAATGAATAAATCTTACAAATACATAATCTTATTGCCTGGGTATGGTGCCCTACTCCACTGATCCCAGCACTTAGGAGGCAGAGGAAGGTGGATCTCTAAGTTTGAGGTTAGCTTGGTCTAGATAGTGAGTTCTGGGACAGCAAGGTCTACATGGAGAAACCTTGTCTTGAAAAAGCAAAAACAGGGCTGGAGAGATGGCTCAGAGGTTAAGAGCACTGCTTGCTCTTCCAAAGGTCCTGAGTTCAATTCCCAGCAACCACATGGAGGCTCACAACCATCTGTAATGAGTCTGGCGCCCTCTTCTGGCCTGCAGGGATACATGTATACAAATAAATAAATCTTAAAAAAAAAAAAAAAAGCAAAAACAAAGAAAAAAGGAAATTGTGGCGAAATGTTGTTAGTACTCTAAAAAAATAAAGCTTGCCTGAAGATCAGAGGACAGAGCTAGCCACTAGAGGCCAGGCAGTGGTGACACTCACCTTTAATCCCCGCACTTGTGAAGAGGAAGCAAGAAGATCAGGAGTTCAAGGCCACCCTGGGTTACACGAGATAGAATCTGTCTAAAAGAGAAACAGCCAGGCAGTGGTGGTGGCTAACACCTTTAATCCAAGCACTAGGGAGGTGGAGACAGAAATATAAGGCAGGTGGAGACAGGATCTGGAACCATTCAGTCTGAGTATTCGTAGAGACAGGATCTCTCCCCCTTTCTGGCTGACGATTAAGTAGAGGTAAGAAGTTTCTCTAGTGGCTGGCTCCTTTACTGATCTTTCAGCATTTACCCTGGTATATGGCTGGCTTTTTGTTAAGACCAATTAGGATTTGTGCTATAGGAAATAAATCATTTTGTCTATCTATTCATTGAAAAATATGTTATCTCAGCAAAATTACTGTAATTCACAGATGAACCTGAAGTTTTTTTAATCATGCCTCGATATGTTTCAGTTATATAATTTCTTGTCATCCAAATAAAACATAAATTACTGTCCCAAATTTTCGAGCTATAAACTTAATTTTTTTGTGGACCATCTGCTTCTTGTGCACAGCATATCTTTTGTACCTTCCAAAATAAAACTCTATATGGAAAATAAAAGTTTTGTATTTTGACACAATCACAATTAACTTTCTCTTTTCCAGATTTGGATACTTTATAATTTCATGGATGTCTGGACATATAACATTTCTATTCTTTAAGGGTCTTATTTCTGCTAGTAAAATGCTCTTACAATTTACTGAGCTATTAAAACTTTAATAATATGCCATTATGTCTATATTCTATTTGGTTGTACCCTGTTTCTAGTAAGAATATAATTTATTCCTACCTACAATATTATATCTTTTATGCTCACTGCCTATCAGTTTTGAAATGATGTATAGTTTCTATTGATGCTTCAATATGTATGAGTAAATATCTCCATATAAAAGTAAGCATTATGAGAATAAAGAATATTTCTTAGCTTTTGTTCATATCTCAACTTTTGCTCAACAGGAATAACATCCAATGATTATAACACTTACAACAAGACCATTGATTGCAACTCACTACATATTCAACGCCAGAGAATTCATACAAAGGAAAAACCCTACAAGTGTAAAGAATGTGGTAAGGCCCTTAGTTCTCGCTCAACACTTTCTATACACCAGAGACTCCATACTGGAGACAAACCCTACATGTGTACAGAATGTCATAAGACCTTTAATACTCGTTCATCACTTTTTATACACCAGAAAAATCATACTGATGAGAAATCCTACAAGTGTGAAGAATGTGGCAAATCATTTTACTATCCTTCAATGCTGAAGCAACATCAAAGAATTCATTCTGGAGAGAAGCCCTACAAGTGTGAAGAATGTGGAAAAAGGTTTTCTTATTCTCTACGCCTTCAGGTACATCAAAGAATTCATAGTGGAGAGAAACCATACAAGTGTGAAGAATGTCACAAAGCCTTTCGTAAATACTCAGCCTGTTGGAGACACATGAGAGTTCATATTGCAGAGAAATTTTACCAATGTGAAATGAGTGCACAGGGATTTAGTAAACCTGCTTTCCTCATTGGGAACAGGGCAGTTCATACTGCAGAGAAAGCCTACAAGTGTGAAGAGTGTGGCAAGTGTTTTTGTTCATCTTCATCCCTTATTCGACATCAAACAATCCATTCTGAAGACAATCCCTACACGTGTGCAGAGTGTGGCAAAAGGTTTTCCTCTCTTGCACGCCTTCAAGAACATCAGACAGTCCATACTGGAGAGAAACCACACAAGTGTGAGGAGTGTGGCAAATGTTTTTGCTCATCTTCATCCCTTAGACGACATCAAGCAATCCATTCCGAAGACAATCCCTACAAGTGTGCAGAGTGTGGCAAAAGGTTTTCCTACTTTACAAACCTTCAAGAACATCAGACGATTCATACTGGAGAGAAAGCATTCAAGTGTGAGGAGTGTGGCAAATGTTTTTACTTATCTTCATCTCTTCGCCGACATCAAGCAATTCACTCTGAAGACAATCCTTACAAGTGCAAAGAGTGTGGCAGATGTTTTTCATCATCTTCATCCCTTAGGCGACATAAACAAAAAAAGAAAATTCATTCTGAAGACAATCCTTAAAAGTGTGGGGAATTTGACAAAGACTTTGTTAATCTTTATATCCTTACTCAACACATGATATTAGTTCATACCAGAGAGAAATCCTACAAATGTCTTAAAAAGTTTATTTATTCAACCCTTAAAACACATCAAATGAGTGTGTGAAGTGTCATAAAAATCTTTGCTAACATTTCAGATCTTTTCCAACTCAAATAAATACATAGTAGAGAATATTAAGTTAGTTATTTTTGAATGTCAACAGGAATATGTAGCTAGAGTTTTCCTGCTTGGCCCACAGTCAGGACAAATCTCTGTCACCCGAAAGTCCCACAGCTGCTCAGACCCAACCAAGTAAACACAGAGACTTACATTGCTTACAAACTGTATGGCCGTGGCAGGCTTCTTGCTAACTGTTCTTACAGCTTAAATTAATCCATTTCTATAAATCTATACCTTGCCACGTAGCTTGTGGCTTACCAGCATCTTCACATGCTGCTTGTCATGGTGGCGGATGGCATTGTCTCCTCCTCAGCCTTCCACTTCCCAGAATTCTCGCCTATACTTCCATATACAGACCATCCCACAACAGGAATATCTAACTTCCAACAGCAAAAATGTTAAGAATGTCATCAAAGAACAGTGGAGACTTCTCTTTGCTCTAACCCCCAACAGTTTGTTCAAGCAGTGTGTTTGAAACTTGCCTTGATTAATGAGTCCCTTTCTTCTGTAACTATAAATATTCCATGAAACCTTTACATGTCCTAACTTTGTCCACAGGGTTCCTGGAGTCTGAGATCTGGGCTGTGGCATAGTTACTGTTGTTTTTCCCAGTGGAGTCATCCAAGCTCCTGTAATATCTCCCCTTGTGTGTAAGAATCTCCGTCTCTCTGAGCTAGCAGGTTTTCACCCAGCATCTGGCTCCTGAATCCTTATTGGTAAAATAAAAGGATAGAGTTAGTTAAAACTACAGGAAGGCTCTTCCGGTCTTAGGCCTCAGCGTCAAGGCAGCAGCTGCAGAGACGCAGTTATCAGCTGAGGCAGAGATGGCATCTGTGCGTCAGATAAAAAACAACAGTGCCCATAGAGCAATAATGACAGGAAAGTTATGAGAGTAATCAATCACTTTCTGATTGGATTTAAAGCTTATTCCACAAATAATAACTGATGTGATGCTAATTTGGTGATATACTTTTGCCTGGCTAGATGATAAGCCCTAAGGAGAATTGAATGCTGTTATTCTAATAAGTAGATATGAACTAAATGAACCCAAGTTTTCATCTTTATAACCAGAGTCAGGCACCTCTCCACACCCACCAGAAAATATTGTGTGGTAGATGGAGAATAATACACAGATGCAAATTGGTTGAAGTGTAGGGAATATTAGCCTGTGGAGGGCCCTAATCTAGAAGTGACACCTGTATCACACAGTGTAAAAGAGGTCCCTTGTTGGGAGCTGTTCAGCCTAGTTTTGGATCAGCATATGACTACCTGTACAATGGGTTTCCTCAGAACAGGCACCTGTGAAATGCACTCTCACTTGGTAAGGACCAGTAGTCCACAGGACAGCATAGGAATTTGCAAAATTTGTGCAGCTTGCAGGCTCTTGCAGGCTCTTGTTTTCCTCTCATTATATTGGTGATGCTTTGGGCAGTTCTTAGTTTTATGTTGTCAGTCACACATACAACAACTGTAATTTTCCCTGGAAATTCTGTTCCTTTTCAAACACTTTGCCCTAAGATTCAGCAGGTGGTTATTGCTTCTTAAATCCCTTATCTGGAATTACTAACTACAATTCCCAACCCTGGGAACTTTTCTGACTCAATGAAGATAGTTAAGTACATTTGAGAAAACAACCCTTGGAAAATTAACCATGTTTCACAGTTTGGGAAAGGAGAACAGAGCATATGTACACAGACTCTGATGAAAGCCTCAGGAATACATGTGGTGCCAACTGCTGAGAGTAAGTTCCCTGGATCGCAAGCATAGAATTGTTGGTAGGATCTCGTGTGCCCCCGGAGGAAAAAATACAATGCCAAATGTGGAATGGGTAGATCCATCTTTACCATACACAGGAGCTTATATTGGTGGAAGAAGTATGGTATAGTGAGATGAGAAAAGAGTGCTTTATCAAGATCTGCCTTTTACAGAGAGGTTGAGATATGGGACCCGTTTGTACAAAAGGGAGCTGTATAAAAATACATCTTGCAGACATGAAAGAATTGTCTGGGTTTGAATATTGTTGTCCTTAAGGCATTGTGTCCAGGCCCATTGCTTTTTAACTTTGTAGTCACGAGTAGCTGCCAGCTGACATACATGCTGTGAGAGCAGGATGTGTCTCACTCAATGTTTAATTAAGCCTGCAAAAATGCTGAACTCTATGTCTAGAATAAGGTTATGCAGGGGGTGGAAGGTGTATCTGGGGAAGCATAAAGGGGAACAATGGGGGCTTTCATAATGATCACAATGTATTCCTTAAATTGTGATGTATTTCTTAAAGTCAAAAATAGAAGCCAATGATGTAACCCTGGTAAGAGAAAACTCTGTTTAAGTATAAATAAAGTCAACCTGAGCTATTTGGGGCCACTTGAGTGTAATCCACTTGGTGATCAGAAGTTTTCCTTGTACTGATACCCCTTCCCTGTCTCAGGACCTGAACTCTAGCCAAGGCTGGACCTGAACCCTAGCCAAGGCTGGATCTCAGCAGAGTGGCGCCATGAACAGGGACCTGAAGTTGGTATGTATTGGGACTGAAGGGGACAGGATCCTGTCTAAGGGTGCTGCAGACCTTCCAGGAGAGCCCTTGGTTTATGGAGGGACAGGTAATCAAAGAACTTGAAAAGTGAGTGCCCTGTCCCAACAGAAATGGGACAGTGTAGTTCAAAGGAACCTACTCTTTATATAGATATTTTTAAGCATATGGTTAAAGCCAAAGCTTTAAAAGTTTCTACTAGTCAAATAACAGTATATTCTGCTATGGGATAATGCTTTTGTACACTGGTTTAATAAAACACTGATTGGTCAGTAGCAAGGCAGGAAGTGTAGGCAGGATAAGCAGACAAGGAGAATTCTGGGAAGAGAAAGGGTGAGTCAGGAGATGCCAGCCCGCCGTCCAGGGAGCAGCATGTAATGGCACACAGGTAAAGCTACGGAACATGTAGCAACATACAGATTAGCAGAAATGGACTGAGTTTTAAGTGTAAGAGCTAGTCAGTAGTTAGCCTGAGCTAATGACCAAACAGTTATAAATAATATTAAGCCTCTGTGTGATTATTTTATAAGCAGGACATGGGACTGCAAGGCCCAGGACCAGAGACACATCTAGCTATAGAGCTCTAGGAAGAAGAAAGTTGAACTCACCAGGGAGACTCCAAGGGAACAAGACATGCAGGAGGAGAGGTAAAAACCACAAGTCATGTGGCAACATGTAGATGAATAGAAACGGGTTAATTTAAGTTATAAGAGCTAATGGGACAAGCCTTAGCTATGGGCTGAGCTTTCCTAATTAATAATAAGTCTCCGTGTCATTTTTTTTTGTTGTTGAGCTGATAGCCCAAAGAAAAATCCGTCTATGGAATGAGCATGACAAATGAAAGAGGCATGGATTGCCACTCAGAGTACCCTGGGAGTTAGAACAAGTTCATGAACACATTCAGGCACACCAAGGATGCTTTCAGAATCTTCTTAAAAAAGATACTTCTTATTCCCAAGGTAGTGTGTTGTGTAGTTTTACTTACTTGTCTAGACTGCCAGTCAGCAAATAATGACAAGGAGACTTCTCATTAATTATGAAAGCTTGGCCTTTAACTTAGGCTTATCCCCAAAGAGTTCTTATAACTTAACTTAACCTGCCCTTATTAAGCTATATGGCTTTTTTTTTCTTTTTAACCTTTCTACAATTCTGTGTGCCTGACTTGGTCTGCCTATAGTTGGCTTTTCCAATCAGCAACATTCATCTCTTCTGCTCTCTCCCCGGAAATCCTACCCATCCTTTCCTGCCTAGCTACTTGCCATTGAGGTCTTTATTAAACTAATAAGAAGGTGCCTTGGCAAAGACAGATCTTCACAGTGTACAGAAAAGATTATCCCACACAGTATTGCTTCATCATTTTAAAGTACAACTGAGTCAATGTGATTTTTGACGCTGTAGTAAGATTAAAATCAGAACGTATAGACCAGACATGACCTGTAAACCTACTGTTTCTGTCAAAGTCTTGACACACATTAACACATCTTTATGGTGATATTTTATTTGTATTAAAATGTTATTTGTATGTTAATAAATAAAGTTCCCCGGGGGTCAGAGCTATTAGCAAGCCATAGGAAAGCAGGGCAGTGGTGGCATATGCTTGTAATCCCAGCACTTGGTAGGCAGAGCTGGGTAAGTCTCTGTGTGTTCAGGGATACAGCCATTATTGGATACACATGCCTTTAATCTCAATACCAATCATGGAAAACCTGGAGGCCTATACAGACAGGCCATGACAAGGCAGTCATGTGGTTGGGTTTACAACCAATGAGAAGACAGAACAGGAACTCTATATAAAGACTTTAACACAGGGGTAGCTCTGGTTCGGAGAGGTAGGACCACCTCAGGAGGAAGGGTAAGGTTTTAGCTCTTAGCTCTGACCTCTTGGCTTTCTTCTTTGCATTGGTTCTGTGTTTCTTATTTAATAAGAAGGTTGGTTACATCTACAAATAGCGTCCAACGTGGTGGCAAGAGTTTCCACCTAAAAACTGAAAAAAAAGATTCTAAAACGGAACTAAAAACAGCCTCTTAATTGTCTCTGTCAAATGAGTGGCAGCTGCCGGTTTGAGCTACTGGTGGCTTCCTAGCGAACGCGCTCGACCTGCAGTATGGCGGGAATGAGGCCTCTGCAAGTGGCACATTAAGCTGCATGGTGGACTTAGCCTTTGCTAGTACAAAACAAAAAAAAAGAGGTTTCTGGACTACACGCTGCTTGGATAAAAGCATAGACCCACAATAGCTCCCAGAGCTGGTAGTAAACCACCGCCATGTTGGGAAGCTGAGGTGGGCAGAGCCAGCAGCCACAGCTGCTGCATTTTAAAGCAATAGATTCACAATAAGACAGATTCAGATGTAATAGTTTACAATGTGTGAAAATATACTTAGGCTTGAAAGAGACAAAAAAGGTGATATATACAGTTATATAAACAAATACATAGTTTAAAAAATAAAGTCTTTAAAGAGACAGTAAAATTAATATAAAAAATAAGCCACGTAAAGATGAATACTACACAGAGAATCTGGATTGTGTTGTCTTTGGGATTTTTAACTGCAGAAAAACATTTGATTGTAAAAGCTGTTGAGTTATGCCAAAATGTATATTTTAAAGGTACCTTGATTTCAAAATTCGGATGTAAGGATGTGTTGCTTTGGAAAGGAGACTCTGCTTTTGTTCCCACAGAAAGCCAGAGGCTATTGATTTGTTCCAGATTAAGATACATCAGGTTTGACCAGCCAAGACCCCCTGAAAGGTCTCCAATGACACCATGGCCGAGATGATCCAACATCCAGAATGGTTTGAAGGCAACTGGCTCAGACAATACAGCCTCATGGACTATTCCATAATCCTAAAATTTTCTTTGTGTCCCCAGAAGATACGGCACCCCCCCAGCAGGAAGTAGTAAGAGAAGCTACGCCCAAATTCCCAAATTATATGTAATTATACTTTGTTAAGGTTAAAATCTTCCTTTTTGGAAAAAAAAAAAAAAAGGAAGTGCTGTGGGATGTTCTGTATGGCAAATGTGTTGCTAATTAGTCAATAAATAAAACACTGATTGGCCATTGGCTAGGCAGGAAGTGTAGGCGGGACAAGGAGGAGAATAAAGCTGGGAAGTGGAAGGCTGAGTCAGAGACACTGCCAGCCACCACGATGACAAACAGCATGTGAAGATGCGGTAAGCCACGAGCCATATGGCAAGGTATAGATTAATGGAAATGGATTAATTTAAGCTGTAAGAACAGTTAGCAAGAAGCCTGCCATGGCCATACAGTTTGTAACCAATATAAGTCTCTGTGTTTACTTGGTCGGGTCTGACCGTCTGTGGGACTGGCAGGTGAGGGACTGGAAGGTGAGAGAGATTTGTCCTGACTGTGGGCCAGGCAGGAAAACTCTAGCTACACATCTTAAGTTGATTATCTGGAGGTGAACACCAGACTGACTAACCATGGCTGTTTGAAACCAAAACAATAGCCAAATTGTTGTTAAGAAACCACATTGTTATACAGTCTCCATGCCTTGCAAGAATAAGTTTCTGTTTTCTAAGACCAAAGTACCTTGCAAAACATGTTTCAACCTATGCTGATCTTGTGACCCCATGAAGTATGCTCACCATTTATTTACCTTACAAAAATAACCTGTGATATGATTGCGCTTTTGCCTTACGAAAATGTTTTTCCTGATACCTTGATGATTCCCCTCCCACATGATGTATTATTGAACTTCAGCTTTTTTTTAAAAAAAATTTCATCCGTTCTAACGGCCAATTATATCGACATCTGTTTTTTATAACCCTAACCCTTCCCCATTAAGGGGCTTCAAAAGGCATTGAGGGGCTGCTCTCTGAAATACCTACTTTGGGAGAGAAAGCCAATGGGCCAGTGCTGTGGGATGTTCTGTATGGCAAATGTGTTGCTCTGATTGGTCAATAAATAAATCACTGATTGGCCAGTGGCCAGGCAGGAAGTGTAGGCGGGACAAGGAGGAGAATAAAGCTGGGAAGTGGAAGGCTGAGTCAGAGAGACACTGCCAGCCGCCATGATGAGAAACAGCATGTGAAGATGCCGGTAAGCCACGAGCCATATGGCAAGGCATAGATTTATAGAAATGGATTAATTTAAGCTGAAAGAACAGTTAGCAAGAAGCCTGCCACGGCCATACAGTTTGAAACCAATATAAGTCTCTGTGTTTACTTGGTTGGGTCTGAGCAGCTGTGGGACTGGCGGGTGACAGAGATTTGTCCTGACTGTGGGCCAGGCAGGAAAACTCCAGCTACAGGCCAGTTCCTGGTGCTCCTGTAAAATGAAGCTTGCTTTAATCAGACATTCGTGCAATTGGTTTTTCTCAGGCCTAACCGCTGTCTAGGGCACTCTGCTTCTTCCTCTTATACTGTACTGCAGGCAGCCAGACACCAAACCCAGGGAGAGTAAATATCATCATACAAGGATTGCAGGAATTCCTTCGCCCAGACTTCTGGGAAATGTAGTCCATGCGACTGTGACATCACAGGGAGCCGTCCAGGAAATTCCTTTCTGGCGTTTAGTCCTCATGGGTGCAGCTTCCGCAAAGTTGGGCGAGTGTCCTGCCCTACTCTACAGTCCCGTTGCATCTCAGACATGGAGGTTGGTCCAGGGTGCAGCGCAGCCTGAGGCACTGAGCGGGATGAGGGGATCCGTCTTGGAGGGAGCGGACCTGGGCTGGGTGGGAGGGCGGAAGAAGCTGCCTTGGAGGTGCTGAGCTGAACTGGCAGGGTCACGTGAGGTTGCAGGTCAGGGCTGGGGAGAGGGTGATAGGGACTGTGCCCTGAGTGACAGTTTCCTTAGGATGCCGCGTTGGGACAGGAGAGCTGCCTGGTAGCGCGGAGTAGATGATAGTGCAAAGTCCAGGATTGCAAACTAATGATGGTCAGCTGACTGCCTGCTCCTGAGGTGGAGCTGGGAGCTCAGTGAGCAGCTTTGGTGGGGAAGCATGCTTCTCTAGCTGAACCGTTCTCACGTAGATGCTGTCAGATTTCTCAGAATCTGTAGAGCAAACGGAGTCTGGTCCTTACTGTACTCTGTAGCCGCCTAATGTAACGATTCTGGAACACAAGCACACAAATCTGTCAGACTCAACAGCTATAGAAAAGCTTTGACTAGGAGTGAGAGAACACACATTCTGCAGACCTATAAGGGAAAGACCCAGTGCAATCCCCAAACCCAGGGGATTAGGGAAGCGGAACCCTGCTTCACCTTGAGGGCTGGGTTTTCTTAAATCTTTGAAAGGTCCTACATCCTTAATTTAGGACTGAGTAATTGTAAAAGGGACAGGATGTCTGCTTGTCCCAAAATGGTTGTGTCAACATGTCTTCATCTGGCCTTGAAATTACTGAGCTTGTCTAATAGTACGGTTCCTAGGAGCAGGTGATAAACTCTCATGGCCTTGGGTTCCAGTGCCAGATTTTTGTGTCGGGTCAGCGGGGTGAGGAAGAACTCACAGACTGTGTGTATTCATGTGATTTACAGTAAACAGACCTGTGATAGGAAAGAAACTCCAGTCTACGCTATTGCACATCCCTGTCATCTCTGCATTTGTGAAGGGAGACAGGACCCTCTGGTCCTGCCCTGCTTCATAGCAAATTCAAAGCCAGAGCCTGTGTTAGAAAACATTTAGACATGCTTCAAGGTCATGAGAAATACTTTCTATCCTTCATTTCATATTTCTTACAGTGAGCACTGTGACAAATCCATGCAATCAGCATATTGCTGACTTACTACATGTGCTTAATTTCTGTGGCCCATTCCAAATGTAATTTAATCTTTATTCACTATCATGCTTTTGTTATAGGTATTAAATTTTGGTGATTACAAACTTCTTTTCATTTACTCTGTGAGGAAGAATTCCTCTTTGCCTGGATTGAATATTCTTCCCTATATGCAGTGATTGTTCATTCTTTTTGGTTATTAATCTGTTTGTGACTGTTGTAACCTGATGCTGATTTCTTCTGGTTTCATTGATTTCTTCCAGTTTGCTCCTTTCGTATCTAATCCAAGACTCCATTATTTCTTCATTTCCACTCTGCAGTTCTTGACTGATGTGGCTGCTGTGGTTACATTCCTGGGTCTTTTTCTGCAGCTGCAGCTGGGATGCCTTCCCCTCCCTGTCCTTACACCAGAGGTTCTACTGTGTGCAGATGCTTCTTACAGTGAGCCAGGACAAAACCACTTTCTCCCTGTCCTTCACATGGGCACTGCCATGTCCAACCAGTAAAACCAAGTGCTAATGCTGGTTCCTGCTCTTCACAGGTCCTGTCCAGTTCCCCTTGTTGATCAGTCCTGTCTCTTTCCTCCCAGGCTCCTTTCATTGTATTCTAATGTCAGTGTGAGGGAGGGAGTTCCTTGTGTTTACAACTCATGCATGAGCCTTGCTGTGTTAGACATGTTATATCTGGAAAACTCTGGAGGGGAAGTGTGCTGGGTGAGGACATTCAGTTCCTGTCCATTGATCTGTATGACTATGTCAGAGGCCATGGGGAGACATTGTAAAAGATTTGAACAGGGGTCAAACACACAGGGGTCAAACACGTGCAAGGAATAAACCTGAGCAGCACAGATTTTCATTATATTGTCATTTTTGGTTATATTGGTGCATGTCATAGTGCCCCCCATTGTCATTATCACATGCAGTAACATATCAATTAGATTTTTTTGAGTTCAGAGGTGTGTCTGCTTGCCCTGCCTATTCTCTTAAAAACTGCATTCCATTGTTCTCTTCTCTGCAGGATCTAGTTTAATAGAAGTCAGTCAGACCTATGTCACTGTGTGTCCCAACCCTTAACTGGAGACACTCCACTTGCTGTTACTTTAAGAAACTCATAAACAATATATGGATGATTAAAATTCACAAGTACATCTAGACATCTAATGGACAGAGCATGTGATATTTATTTTGAAACTAAGTTCTCACTATATAATTCCATGTTTTCCACAAAGAACATTACTTTTGTTATCCTATGATTTATTCATGGTTCCAATTCCATTCTCTGAGTCACAATATTTTAAATGTAGTAGTTTAATACAAAAAATCAATGATTGTTGCATGCCACATTTATTGGGTAAAGAGCTGGGATAGTGGCCTAAGACTTGTGAAGCTTGAATCTATTTAGGCTTAATTAATAAAAACCCTGAGTCATATATTGAAGATGAAAGCTGAAAGATCAGAGAAGCAGAGCAGCCAGCCACCAGAGAGTTCTTACCTCTACTAAATCCTCAGACCAAATGGCAGTCCTGACTCTAAGAATTCACAGACTGAATGGGCAGAATCCTGTCTCCACCTGCCTTATATTCTGTGTCCACTTCCGAAGTGCTGGGATTAAAGGCATGCACCACCACCGCTTGACTCTGTTTCTCTTTTAGACTGGATCATTCTGTAGCCCAGGATGGCCTTGAACTCCTGATCTTCCTGCTTCCAAGTACTGGAATTAAATGTATGTGCCACCACTGCCTGGTCTCTATGGTTAACTGGTGGCTAACTCCACCCTCTGATCTCCAGACAAGCTTTATTTGTCAGAACACAAACAAAACGCCACACAACAGACTTGCTACTTCTTGATGTGCGTAGTGTGTATTTTAAGCACTGTGTCCTTTGATCAGGACATAGTCTGCTTTGAATGGAGGGTCACTACTGTTAGGAACCTGATCAGGAATCCCGTTCTCTCTTTGCATCTGGCTTGGACTTCCCACCAAATCTTCTGCTAGTCTTCAGTTTTGTCTGACTCTCTGAAAAGATGTCTCTGAGGGATACTGACAGGAGATGCAGGAGTTCTTTTTACATCTAATCTGTCCATTCTGTTGCCTCTAGGACCAGCCTCCATTCAAGTAGAGTGCAGATTTCCACCTCCCAATTATATTGAGAATGTGTAGCAATTTTTAATGAATGACAGGTTGCCCACCTCAGACCAGACATTATTTGCATTTCTTCTCTATAGAATGTAAATTTTGCCAGTTTCAAATTACCCTCAAATGTTTGCCATGAAAAGTATTGGGTAAAATCCCTCCTAAATGCTATCCTGTTTACAGGCGTATTCCCTCCACCCACAGCATGTCACAGGAGGCTGGCCTCAGGACAGGAGACACATCCCCTGGTAGAACAGTGTCCCCTTGAGCTGGGCTCCTTTAGGGAGTGACCCTTGCAGTGAGTTCTCCCTTGGGGACCTGTTCTAGTTCTCTCAGAGAACAGTGTATTCCATCTTCACGCTGTCTGGACTTTTACCATTTCCATGGTGACCATTTTTCCCTACTCTTGGCAATCTCATCATTAAAAAAAAGAGGAAAAACTGTTGTGTTTTTGTTTTTTCACTCATAGATTTTGGAACATGCTCTATGAGCTACAAAGATGCTTTCAACACAGGTCAGTTGATTTTCCCTTGAGAAATCAGAGTGTTCTGTTCACCAAACTTCTCCAGTCTGCTTTGATTTGAAAATATATTGACCTCCTTGTTGCTGCTTCCCTTTGCCCTTTATTAAAGGACATTTTCATTTTAATCATTGTTACAGAGTAGACCTTTCCACTGCTCCAAAAGTGTTGAGACCACGCCCACCTCCTCTTAGCACTGAAAACACAATGCATTTCAGAAACAATCCCCTCAGTCTGACCTGAGAGCCTCTGACTCATAGATGAGTTTTCATAGTACTAGAAGATGCTTTGCAAGCTTCCAAGGGAGAGAAGTGATAACCCAACAATAGGACTAGCTGAACAGCACCTGAGCAATGACAACATCAATATACATGGTACCCTGTAGATGGCAATCCATGTGGTTCTACCCCTAAAGAAGTACATATAACGACCCAGCTGTGGTGGCACATGCCTTTAGTCCCAGCATTTGGGAGGGAGAGATAGGGGGATTTCTGAGTTCAAGGACAGCCTGATATACCAAGTGAATTCTGGGGCTACACAGAGAAACCCTGTCTGGAAAAACAAAAAACAAAAACAACAAAACAAACAAAAAAAAAAGAAACAAACTATATGCATCTTGGGTTTCTGTTCCTATGATGAAACAACATGACCATTATTTGACTTACACTTCAGCATTGCTGTTCATCACTGAAGAAATTCAGGACAGGAACTCAAAGAGGGCAGGATCCCAGAGGCAGGAGCTGATACAGAGGCTATGGAGGCGAGCTGCTTACTGGCTTGCTTCACGTGGCTTGTTCTGCCTGCTCTTATTATAGAACCCAGGACCACCAGCCTAGCGATAGCACCACTCACCATGGGCTGGGCCCTCCCCCATTGATTACCAGTTGAGAAAATGCCTTAGAGCTGGATCTCATGGAGGCATTTCCCCAAATGAGGCTCCTTCCTCTCTGATGACTCTAGTTTATGTCAAGTTGACACACAAAACCAGTCAATACAATATGTACATAAAGATTGTCGAAGAGGGAGAATTTGTCTTCCCCAAGGATGAACCCACTCACTATTCATCCAGAGCCAAGGGGTCAGTCCTCACAACACATATACAGGCAACCCTTAGGAGAATCAGCCATTCATATTTATACGGTTAAATGTGTGTATATACATTCTATGTAAAAATAATTAAAGAAGACATCATGCATTTGAGATGGAGTGTTGGGGAACAAGAGAGAAGTGGGAATGAGAACTTTTTCAGAAAAAAAGTCTTCATTTGTGATAATGTGGGTGAAACTGAAATCATTTCAGGCAGAGAAAGATAAATCCACATGATCCATTAGTATATTAAAAAACAAAGAGTTGTAACTCACAGAAGTTGAAGATGGTATAGTTTTTCCTATCAGCCAGGGACATCAGGAAGCTGAATCTTGGGAACTTAAGGAACAATGGATGCTCTGGAACAGTGTGATAAGAGGGTGATCAATGCTCACAGTACTGTTTCCCTGAATGCTGGATGTGTGTAAGCATTATGTAGGGTACATTTCAGAAGCCTGAAAGATAGTGTTTCAGGAAATGAGTGTACCGTAACTAAGAAAGATGATCCAAAGCTTACTGATGAAATTACTACAAAATACCCCATTAATACTTAAATGGTTGATAATTTCCATGTATTATTAAAAAGGAAGAATAATGTAGGACTGTTATCATAAGTCATTCTTGGACTTTACTGAATAAGCTGAAAAACAGCTGTGTGGCGGTGGCACACACCTTTAATCCCAGCACTCAGAAGGCAGTGTCAGATAGATCTCTGTGAGTGTAGGCCAGCCTGGTCTTCAAAACAAGTTCCAGGACAGTCAAGGCTGTTACACGGAGAAACCCTGTCTCAAAACAAACAAACAAGCAAACAAAAAAGATGAAAAACAGAAAGAAAATTTTGAAATAGGAAAATAGTGGCATCAGCAAATATATTTCTCAGCTTTAGCACACTGATGCATAGGTGTCATATGTGGAAAGCATGCTTAGGAATATCACAAACACATCAGTCGATAGATACCTGTCAGAGAAAAGGAGGTAGAAAGTAGAAAATGACTGAAGATCAGAGTTCTGTTTTAAGTTCTCAGTGTTGATAGCCTATACTTGCTGATTTTTCATGTGTTCACAGTTTGTATTTTTCTGTGAGTTCTTCTTTTGTTGTTCTAACCTTTTTCTGCTCCATCTCATGTCTCTTGTCACTGTCATTGGAGTCACTGCTGAACTCTGTACAAATTCAGAAACTCAGACTTCAGCCAGGGCTGCTGCTGCATCAGAATCTGTATTTTCATTTCATTTCTATGTGTAATTGGGCATATTAAGTGTTGAGGTTTCCTTCTCCCTCATCACGACTTTCTTCTGTGAAACATGTGTGTGTGTGTGTGTGTGTGTGTGTGTATACATGCGTATATAGTGTATAATACAAGTGTATCACACTATTACACATTATTCTGCTTTCCTATACCAATAGGATCACCTGACTGGGGCAGGCACCACCCATCATGGACTGTGCTGTCTCATATTAATCATTGATTAAGAAAAAGCCCCCTAGCTTTGGCTATAGGACAGTATTAGGGAGGCATTTTCTCCATTATGTTTTTCTCTTCCCTAAAACCCTAGGTAATGTCAAGCTGACAGGAGAACTGTTCAGCCCAATGCATCTTGATATTTATATTAATAATGGTTTTAAGTAAATTAATGTGCAATATCATTCATTGATCTTTATTTCAGGAAATGCTGTCCTTCTGTGATGTGGCCATTGAGTTCTCTCCAGAAGAGAGGGACTGCCTAAAGCCTGCTCAGTGGAATTTGTACAGGGATATAATGTTGGAGAATTACAGCAACCTTGATTTCCTGGGTGAGGATATCATCCACAGTGAATCCTTATTTCAGATAATAATATGTAGAATCCTCAATTTGTATGATGGTATCTCATGAGAGCATTTCAACATCCATTTTCATATCTGTCATTTTAAGAAAAATTAGAGAGGTTGCTCCATGGCTAAGAAACATTTCACTGTTTTTCTCTCTGTGTGTTTGAACTGTCAGTGTTGAATATATATTTCATTCAATAGCACCTCTAATGGAACTGTTAGAAATTCAATGACTTTGATTCTTCAAGGTCAAAGTACTTCTAGAAAACAAATATGCACTCTAATGTTTACCCTAGAAGCAGTGAAAAGTATTTATTCTAATGTGTATCTCAGATACAGCAACTCTGCTAAATTCCTAAGAATTTTAATGTTTTTTCTTTTAAATGAAACTTAGAATCTGGACATTGTAAATTCCTTTATGTATTGTAATGGTCCCATGAGAAAACATTTAAGGAACTGATTGTCTGCGGTCAATTATCCCCTCATCTTTCCTTATAAACAGTGTACTGGGAGGGACATGTCAATTCCCAGTAGAAGAACACTTCAACAGTCTTGTTCCCTTTTTCTACAAACAGGTCTTGCTGTCTCTAAGCCACACCTGGTGACATTTCTGGAGCAAACACAAGGGCCTGGGGATCTGAAGAGACAAGCAACAGACAGTGTGCACCCAGGTGGGTAGGAATGAGGGGTTCAGGGACAGAAAGGCAGGCTTTCCCATGTGCATTGAAAGAAGATGTTGTTATGGAGATAAGTCTCTCCTTCATGTCTTTGTTATCAAAGAAAGACATCTCAGACATTCATGATGGTTTAAGTCTCCCAAGCTTTGTAATTCCCCGATGGTGAGCTGTGCACGTATTTGCAGAGATCTCCAAGGCTCTTCATTTTTTAAATCTACATTGTAATGTTAGACTCAGGGGAATGCTGCTCTATGCAGATGAATCCATTATTTGCTGGGCTTCAGAGCAGACTCATGCTAGAAAGAGCTCTACACCAAAGTGAGCACGATTGGGTTTCTAAAGCCAAACCCACAATTCCATCACAGAGAGGCAGGCAGAGGCAAAAGACTCAGCAGTTTCAGTTCTGTTGATTAGAACAATTTAGGGGGAGGGAACAGTTGGATAAAACTCAGGCAAACCAGAGTCACTTTGATAAGTTCATTTCCCACTTATCTTAGGGAAGATTCAAAGCATTAATGTATTGTATAAAGTGGTTGTATGGGGCCAGTAGGTACACTGATTTAACAGAGGCTGTTTGGTTTTTTTCAACACTTTTACCACCAGTTGATTTAGCAGGGCTCGACCAGTAGACAGGAAGAGGAGGACAGGATGAGCTACAGGGCCTTACACTATTGATTCAGGGATGCCCATCCAACCAGTTATGGGCACAGTGATTGTGTGCCTCTCATTTTCATGACAGTAGAGTTAGGCCTTTAGGTGAGTTGTAAGGCTCCATGCATTTTGGGGTTTTGTTTTGTTTTTCAAGTTAATATATTTATCATGTACAAGGACTGTTTTTGGATATATACTCAGTCACAACTTGTTAAAGAAATTATTAAATTTTATATATAAACCCTATTTCCCCAGATACCTCAGAGCTAGTAAAATGATTTGTTTCAGGTCCAGTCAGGGTAACCACTGTGACTAGCGCTATAGGAAGCATTGTGGCCAATCTTACCATGAGTCCAATGGGAAGAAGAGATCTTGTGGTCCCTTCTTCTCAAGGTCTGTTGATTCTTCAAACTTCCTCCAAGTATGCGTATTTCCACTGGCTTCTAGGTTTATAATGGGAGCAGGGCTGAGGAGCTGGTCCTAGTTGTGTCTGGACGGTGACTCAGAATTAGTGCTCTGGGTGAACTGTCACAGTCCACCTCACCTCCTCCTCAGGTTGTATTGCTTTCTTTACCTGATGTGGTGGGTCCACACATGGCACAAGCAGCTTAGTTTAAATGAGTGCCACAGTTCATCCTGCTGTGCTGACTGGCCCTGTGACAGAGCCTCTGTCATATATTATCTACCACTTTGCTGAGGACTCCTTACACAATTCGACATTGACATCTCAGCTCTGGGGTTAGCTTTGTTAGGAGGAGGAATGAAAGCCAGGAGACAGGGCATGGCCGTTTGAACTAGCATGTAGTTCTCATAACAGTTGGGTAGAATTCATAGGTACAAGGTTCCCCTGTACATAAGATCCTCAACTATCAATTCAGGAGACATTGTGTCCAGACTGATTACAATTAGTGCCTCCATTACTTGCAATGTTTTAGATGTGGTGCAAAGTCTAAGATCCTCCTCAGCGTGAGAGAATCCGTATCCTGTCTTGTGGGACATGAGGAGAGATTCATCTTCCCTACAGATAATGGATACAATTTCCTGGTCTGGCTTGCAGGCCACAGGGAGACAGGGGCAGCAGACACTGATGGGTCCTTTTCCCCAGGCATCCTTATCCTGGGCTGAGACTAGAATGCCATTTAGTCTGAACAGTCTGTGTCCCATCTGAGGATAATGTGGCATTTGATTCTTGGTGTGTTCTGCCATGGAAGTGTTGTAGATATTTAACCCCTTTTCTCAAGCATTTTGTTTCACTAAACAGTTTTTTTCAAATACACCTGATTTTGAATATTATTCCATATTAAGGAAACTTTAAGTTGACTCTAAATTTTTTTGAGTTACCTGCTTTGCTCAACTTTGACAACATGTACAGAAGACTATAATTCAAGGACTGTATAAATTTTTCTCTCCTAATATTGTCTCTTTACCTGAATTACATTTGTACTTATCATGACTATAAACACAATTTTGAAACACTAACTGTATTTATTCTCTTAGTAGGTAACTCTTCAATAACTATTATGTCTTAATTACCTTTTTTCTAGCATCTTACAATAAATGAGTGACTCTCATCTGATTAGGATTTATTAAATGACAATAATTTATCTTTGTTAAAAATTTCAGCCTCAGAAATTACAATTGTTGCACTGAAGCTGTTTTATACTAACATAAACTTTAAACATAAATACAGTCCATGGAGTCACTGGGGACTTCACTCTCCTTAGCCCTTCATACTGTAGTTTATAAAATCTAAATCAGGCCTACTGACCTCCTACATTGCATAGCTTGTGAAATCAGAAAGAATACAATCAGAGGAGAGAATAGTAAGGCTGACCTTATTAGGGGTCACATATAAGAATAAAAAGATGTACAATTAAATGGTCTTGTCATGACTCAGTTTCTCCAAATGGCTACAGTTTAACAGAGTTAGCAAAGACATAGTGACTAGACAGCATTCTTTAAGTCAGTGGGTTATTTTTCCAACATGAATAAAACATTACACCCCTAGGGAAATTAATAAATTTTGGTCATTAAGTATATTATCTTTAAGTCTCCTCCTCCATAATCCCTGTATTACATAGACAACCTAATGTGACTTGGGTTCAAGCTTTAAAGGTTTTGCCCTACTTTGTTTATATAATTAATCTATCTTAAATAATTTAACCCACTTATTAGAGATATAACCTCAACTATTTCTTTCGTATGTTTTTAAGTGGTTTCCTTGATCAATACAAAGAAAACTGACATGTCAGCAAGAGGTTTAGAGGTGTCAATAAACTTGCATATGAACAAATCTGTAAACAACCAAGAACGGATATAGAGAACAGGAGTTCAATCTAACTGACTACAGAATCAATTGAGACATCTCCTTTTTGTGGGCCAGATATCTGATTCTTTACAGATTAAGCAATTTCAAATGAGACATAATAAGTTTAACAAGTAAATTTACCATTTGATTTAAGAAAATATCCCAAAGGGGAGGTTGTTAACATCTATTTTCATGTGGGCCCTTAGCCAGTCCATATAACAGCTTTATGTATAACAGTACATATATAACAGTACATATCACATCACTGCAGAGGTCCATCTAGAAACCCAGTTTTAGTTTTTCTGGCCTGCACAGAGAGTGTCCATTTTATCCTTTTTAACGATGAGGATCCCATTAGTTGTTTTCATTTTACACATCCTTCTACCATGAAGTAAATAATAGTAGCCTCTCTTGGAAATAGTTCACCTCTTAACTGTTCTCATGTGAATGGTGTCTTTTCCTGAGGAGTCCTGATGTTCTCCTTCTGCCTGTCACAGAGTCAGGGAGCCAGCCTGACCCAGGACAGGGGAGTTGGAAGAAACTTTAAGAGAAATGTGCTTGAGTTTGATGTGGGAGAGGAGTATCTTTTTTCCACAGCCAGCTTTTCATGCTAAAACAGCATATGAAGACTTATAAGAATATTATCTATAATCAAATGGCATTTGTTTCTCAATAAGACTGAATATAGTAATTTAAATATCCATAACTGTATTGTATGTCTTAGATGTAGGCAGACAACCTGAATACTTCTCTATGCGTTTTGCCTCTTAGAAAGATTTCAGTGTTTAGGATACAATACTGATTCTATGAGACAGGAACATATTGGCTTCTTTGTGGATGAACCTTCAAGCTTTAAATACATAAGTACCTGCAGCCTAGAGACATTTAAACAGAAAACCATAAAACTAGACATCTAAGCAACTCAGAAATTTCTGGAAGTGAAAGCGAGGTTATCTAGGTTTGGTGGAGCAGAGACGAAGGCTGACCTCAGCCATAGGGCAAAGTAGTCCCAAGAACAGACAGAGTGTCATATCTCAAAGGAAGCAGGCCTGCAGACCCAGCAGAAGGACCCAACTTGGCTTTTATCTTCTGTCTCATGGCACAAGCAGGAAGGGTCTCTGTGGTGGTATTTTGTTTGTGCTCTAACAATTAAAGCTTGCCTGAAGATCAGAGGGAAGAGCTAGCCACTGGAGGCTAGGCAGTGGTGACACACACCTATAATCCCTGTACTTGGGAGGAGGAAGCAGGAAGATCAGGAGTTTAAGGTCACCTTGGGCTATACAAGATTGAATCTGTCTAAAAGAGAAACAGAGCCAGATTGCGGTGGTGACTCACACCTTTAATCCCAGCACTAGGGAGGTGGAGACAGGAATATAAGGTGGGTGGAGACAGGATCTCACCCCATTCAGTTTGAGGATTTGTAGAGACAAGATCTCACCCCCTTTTATCTGAGGAGTTGGTGGAGAGGTAAGAAGTCTGTCTAATGGCCTGCTCCTTTGTCATACTGATCTTTCAGCATTTACCCTGATATCTGGCTCAGGGTTTTTATTATTAGACCAATTAGGATTCATGCTACAGGCTTCCAACAAATAGAAAGCCTGACTGTGACATTTTGTCCACACACTGAGCTAGAATTCTAGACCTATAAGCTGTCTAGGCTCCTCGGATATATGGGGGTCCTGCTCCTGCCTACTCCGCAGGCTCTGGGCTGGAGCTACCACAGTGTCCTTTGTTCTGTGATAGAGGAGGTACTGCCCCTACTTGGACCTGACTGCACATGGATGGATCAGTGAGATCATGTAGCTTGGTCCCCACCACTAGAGTATTCCTTGATAGAGCAGGAATCCAAATTGGTCTTTGTCAGAGCCTGCCATCAGTCAGCTGGGTAGAGGCGCACAGATTGTAGAGACAATGAAGAAGACAGAAAAGAGTAGAGAGGTCTGCCAGTCAATGGCAGACAGTCCTGAGTTTATTTCACAGCCAGCTTATATACAGTTTTGAAGGACAGAGTTAGGACAATGCACAGCACAGGCATTCAACCACTGTCTATCCTGCCTTGCATCAAGGAGCAGGCAGTTTCATTTTCTATCTTGATGTACCTCCAGCTGGCATCAGCAGCCTGCATCTAGCTAGATAGTATGTTCCTTCCTGTGGGCTAATCAGGACTTTCTCACAGCCCTAAAAGGAGACTCTGCAGGCTAATCAGGACTTTCTCACAGCCCTGGAGCAAGCAAGCTTGAACTCTATTGACTCAGAATAGACTTCAGATTAAACTGGAAAACTGAGTCAGTTGTGGGCTCCCACAGCTCGTAATAAAATCCCAGAGCCAGATGTCGGGGTAAATGCTGAAAGATCAGAGAGACAAAGGAACAAGCCACAGCCATCTCTCACCTCACCAACTCCTCAACCAAAAAGACTGAGCTCCTGTCTCATCCCGCCTTCTATTCCTTTCTCCACCCAGCCATGTGACTTCCTGTCTCAACCTTCCTAGTGCTGGGATTAAAGGCATGTGTGCCTCCCAAGTACTGGGATCAAAGGCATAAGATCCCAAGTGCTGGGATTAAAAATGTGTGCCACCACTGCCTGGCCTCTATGGCTAACTACTGGCTGGCTTTGCCCTCTGATCTTCAGGTAAGCTTTATTTGTTAGAGCATACACAAAATATCACCACACTTTGGCATTATTTTGGAGGTGTGGATAGCCTATGATCATTTGTTATATATTCTCTTTATATTTCAGTGGATGGATACAACACATAAGGACATAAGGACAGTGTAAAATTGCAAAATATCTATGAGCTCTGCTCTTTGAATTTCTACTTCATGGGTTAACATAAATTTTCTGTTTTCATGCCTTGTTCATTGTCTCTCTCTATTTAGAGCCTAATATCTGTTTACTCTTGTAAATGAATAAATCTTAGAAATATATAATTTTATTTCCCAGGCATGGTGACCTACTCCACTGATCCCAGCACTTGGGAGGCAGAGGAAGGTGGATCTCTGATTTTGAGGCCAGTCTGGTTTAGATATTGAATTCCAGGACAGCAAGGTCTACACATAAAAAAAAAACTTGTCTTGAAAAAGCAAAAATAAAAAAGGAAACAAGTCATTTTTTCATCTATTCATTGACAAATATGTTGTCTCAGCAAAATTACTGTAATTCACAGGTGAACCTGAAATTTTTTTAATCATGATTTGATATATTTCAGTTATATACTTTCTTGTCATTCAAATAAAACATGAAGTACTGTCCTACATTTTTGAGTTATATTATTTAGCCTTGTTGTGGGCCATCTATCTACTTCTTGTTCAGCAAATCTTTTGTACCTTCCAAAATAAAATGCTAAGTGGATGATAAAAATTTTGTATTTTGATGATGACTAGACTCACACAATCACAATTAACTTTCTCTTTTCCAGGTTTGGATATTTTATAATTTCATGGGTGTCTGGACATATAACATTTCTATTCTTTAAGGGGCTTATTTCTGCTAGTAAAATGCTCTTACAACTTACTTATCTATTGAACTTTGAATAATATTCCATTATGTCTATGTTCTATTTGGTTGTGCCCTTATTAGGAGTATAGATTATTTCTACCTACAATATTCTATCATTCATGCTCAGTGCCTATAGGTTGTGAAATACACTGTAGTTTCTCATTGATGCTTCAATATGTATGAGTAAATATTTCCATATAAACGTAAGCATTATAAGAATGAAAATACTTCTTATATTTTGTTCATATCTCAACTTTTGCTCAACAGGAACAATACCCAATGATTGTAACAATTACAGCAAGGTCATTGATTGTAAATCACTCCTTATTCAACACCAGAGAATTCATACAGGGAAGAAACTTTACAAGTGTGAAGAATGTGGAAAGGCCCTTAGTTCTCAAAAAACCCTATCTATACACCAGAGACTTCATACTGGAGCCAAACCCTACACATGTAAAGGATGTCATAAGACCTTTAATACTCGCTCATCACTTTTTATACACCAGAAAACTCATACTGATGAGAAATCCTACAAGTGTGAAAAATGTGGCAAATCATTTTACTATCCTCCACTGCTGAAGCAACATCAAAGAATTCATTCTGGAGAGAAGCCCTACAAGTGTGAAGAATGTGGCAAAGCATTTTATTTTCCTTCATACCTTAAGCAACATCAACGAATTCATTGGGGAAACAATCCCTACAAGTGTGAAGAATGTGGAAAAAGGTTTTCTTGTTCTTTACGCCTTCAAGTCCATCAAATAATCCATACTGGAGAGAAATTGTACAAGTGTGAAGAATGTCACAAAGCCTTTAGTTATCACTCATCGTTTTGGAGACACATGAGAGTTCATATTGCAGAGAAATCCTACCAGTGTGAACTGAGTGGAAAAGGAATTACTAAGCCTGCCTTCCTCATTGGAAATAGGGCAGCTCTTATTACAAGGAAAGCCTACAAGTGTGAAGAGTGTGGCAAGTGTTTTTGCTCACCTTCATCACTTAAACGACATCAAACAATCCATTCTGAAGACAATCCCTACAAGTGTGCAGAGTGTGGCAAAAGGTTTTCCTACTTTGCACACCTTCAAGAACATCAGACGGTCCATACTGGAGAGAAACCATACAAGTGTGAGGAGTGTGGTAAATGTTTTTCCTCATCTTCATCCCTTAGACGACATCAATCAATCCATTCTGAAGACAGTCCCTACAAGTGTGCAGAGTGTGGTAAATGGTTTTCCTGTTCTAGGAGTCTTCGGGAACATCAAGCAATTCATACTGGAGAGAAACCATACAAGTGTGAAGAATGTCACAAAGCCTTTCGTAAATACTCAGCCCTTTGGAAACACAAGAGCATCCATAATGCAGAGAAATCCTACCAGTGTAAAAAGTGTGGAAGATGTTTTGCCTCATCTTCATCCCTTAGACGACATAAATCAATTCACTCTGAAGACTATCCCCACAAGTGTGAGGAATGTGGCAGATGTTTTTATTCATACTTGTTTTTTAAACGACATCAAATAATCCATTCTGAAGACAGTCCATATAAGTGTGTAGAATGTGGCAAACGGTTTTCCTGTTCTAGAAGTCTTCGGGGACATCAAGCAATTCATACTGGCGAAAAACCATACAAGTGTAAAGAATGTCATGAAGCATTTCGTAATAGCTCATCCCTTTGGAGACACAAGAGAGTTCATACTTCAGATAAATCCTAATAGTGTGAAGAGTGTGGCAAATGTTTTTCTTCATCTTCATGCCTTAGACAATACCAAACTTTCTATTCTGAAGACAATCCATCCAAGTGTGCAGAGTGTAGAAAAGGTTTTCCTACTTTGCACACCTTCAGGTACATCAGACGGTCCATATTGTAGAGAAACCATCAAGTGTTAAGAGTTGACAAATGTTTTTGCTTATCTTCATCCCTTAGGCGATGAGAGAGAGAGAGAGAGAATTCATTCTGAGGATAGTCCTTTAAAGTGAAGGGAATGTGGCAAAGACTGTTAAACACTTGATAATTCATACTGGAGAGAAATTCTACAAATTTCTTAAAAAGTTCACACATCTTCAGTCCTTAAAACACATCAAATTCATTCTGACTACAAACTCCATGAGTGTGTGGATTGTGAAATCTTTGACAAGCATTCAGATCTTATGTAACTCAAATGAATCCATATTATAGAGTATTGAATTAATTATTTTGAATGTCAGCATGAACATATAACTTCCAACAGCACAAATATCATCAGAGAACAGTAGAAACTTCTGTTTGCTGTAACTTCCCAACCAGTTTGTTCAAGCAATGTGCTTGAAACTTGCCTTAATAAATGAGTCTCTTCTATAACTATAAATGTCCCATGAAATTTTTACCATGTAATTTTTTGTAACTTTTCCCACTGGGTGTCCTGAATCTGAGATCTGGACTGTGGTATTTACTATTATTTTTCCCTGTGGTGTCAACCAAGAACCTGTAATAACATCTCCAATGGGTATGTAAGAATCTCCATGAACTCATATTTCTCACCAAGTTGGAGTTTGGTGAAATGGTCTGAATTGATAACAATCTGGACTGAATGGGCATTAGTCTTTCTCCCCAGGAAATGCTAACAGAACACATTTTCAGTTATATTTGGTTCCAGAATAAAGAATCTCTTATTTCCTTTCAGTTCAGAACAGTGTTTCTTATATGACTCCAACTGTCATGTCACAGAAACTTTGACCTATATTGAAATAATGACCTGAGTCAATTACACTCACTCAGCAGAAAGGATACAAATTCGTACCACGAACATTGGGCGCCAGATGTAGCAGGAATCTTAAATGGTCTTATTAATTAAATCAAACCCAAGGCCAGTTATTGGGGTGAATACTGGAAAATCAGAGAAGCAGAACAAGCCACAGCTAACCTTACCTGGCCAACTTCTCAGTTGATCCTGTTTCCTCAGACTGGAAGCCTCTGTGTCCTCATATTCGAATGGCTCTCAGCTGAACTGTGCTGCTCAAAAACCTAAAAGCTTAACCAGCCAAATGCTTAACCAGGCCAAATGCTTCTAGTTTCTAGTCCTCACGCCTTATATATCTTTCTGCCTTCTATCATCACTCCCTGGGATTAAAGGCGTGTGTCACCATGCTTGGGTATATCCTTGAACAGATGGATTTCTGCCTCTGAAATGCTAGGATTAAAGGCGTGTGTGCTACCACTGCCTATCCTAAGTATCTAGTGGCTTTTCTGTTCTCTGGCCCCAGATAAGTTTATTAGGGTACACAATATTTTGGGGAACACAATACCACCACATTTGATCATTAAATATGAAACACTGTAGATGCAGGTCTTACTTTACTGTTGATACAGATCCTTAAACGTTATCTCAATCTCATGTTTACTAACTTACTGTAAACTGTTAATATAGGGTAAATAACACCTAAACAGTAACAATCACTGACTTACAAGTGATTAAATATCTCTGCTGTGCCCAGAATTGAGTTTCTAGTTATGCTAAGTTGTGGTGATATTTTGTGTGTGCTCTAACAAATAAAGCTTACCTGAAGATCAGAGGGCAAAACCAGCCAGTAGTTAGCCATAGAGGCCAGGCAGTGGTGGCACACACTTTTAATCCCAGCACTTGGGATCTCATGCCTTTGATCCCAGTACTTGGGAGGCACACGTGCCTTTAATCCCAGCACTAGGAAAATTGAGACAGGAAGTCACATGGCTGGGCAGAGAAAGGAGTATAAGGTGGTAGGAGACAGGAGCTCAGTCTTTTTGGTTGAGGAGTTGGTGAGGTGAGAGATGGCTGTGGCTTGTTCCTTTGTCTCTCTGATCTTTCAGCATTTACCCCAACATCTGGCTCTGGATTTTTATTAAGACCAATTAGGATCATGATACATCTGGTGCCCCAATATAGTATTACTATAGAAAGGTTAAAACCTTCCTTTTTAATTAGACAAAAAGGGAAAATGCTGTGGGATAATGCTCTTGTACACTGTAAAGATGCGTCACTAAAAATGGGTTAATAAAATACTGATTGGCCAGTAGCCACGCAGGAAGTATAGGCAGGAGGAACAGAGCAGTAGAATTCTGGGAAGAGGAAGGGCAGAGTCAGGAATTGCCAGCCACATGCAGAGGAAGCACTATGAGAATGTTGAATTGAGAAAAGGTACCAAACCACATGACTAAACATAGATAAGAATTATGGGTTAATTTAAGTATAAGAGCTAGTTAGTAATAAGCCTGAGCTAATGGCCAACCATTTATAAGTAATAATAAGCCTCTGCATCAATTATTTGGGAAGCAGCTACTGCATATTTGGGAACAGGCAGAAAGGAGAGAAACATTCCGCCTACATGTGGTGCCCAAACATTTGGCAAGGATTTCCACATAAAACCTGAGAAACCTTAAAAAGGGATTTTAAGCCCACAAAAACAGAGTTAAACTTGGCTTCTTGGTAACAGTCTTTTCTCTGGTGGGCTGTGTTTGCTGGTCATGAGCAGAGGCACAGCTCCTTTAAGGGATGATTTCCTGACTCAACATTAGCAGGAAAAACCGTGCTGCTCTTTTAAGAGGCCCTACTGCCCAACACTTGTATGGTGTTTATGAGCAGCAGGCTGCATGCTACTCAGTAGTATGGACCTAAGACCTCCCCAGAGTTGGGGGTGATACACATGGCTCCTGCCAGTACCTCCACCATGAAGCCAGACTCTCAGGAAAGTAAGGAATGGGGTGGAGCCTGCCACTTTAATCCTATCCACACCTGCTTAAGAGATTAGCACACATATGGTAAGAAAAAGATACCAATATATAGTAAAGACAGATTCAGGAAAAAAAAAACTCTAAACAGTTCACATTGTGTTTAAAAATATACATAGGCTTGGGAGAAAAAGAGAAGGTATAGACAGTCATAAAAACGAAATACATAGTTTTAAAATAATAAAGCATAGTACTTAAAAAAGAAATAAAAGTAATATTAAAAATGCCTTGTAGAGACAGAAAATACATAGGGAGTCTGGATCCTATGTATTATTGCATTGATTTTGAATTTTTTAATTTCTGATGGGCAAGAGACAGCCACTGGAAGACATGGAATTAAAAAGAGGGACTGATGAAATATACCAACCTAGATATTTTAAGAATTCCTTAACTTTAAAAATAAAGTAAAAAAAAAATGTATTTTTCAAATGGAAATAAAAATTGCTTTGGAGAAGAGGTTTTGCTTTTGTTTCCATGGGAAACAAGAAGCTGTGGATTTGGTCCAGGTTAATATGGATCAGATTTGATCAATGAACAACTCCTGAAACTTGACAGATGATATCAACAAAGGTTACTGGTCTTCCTGGGACTTGATCATTATCTCAAAATTTTCTCAGGGACTCTGGGAATGCCTTTGCCCACAGACAGCTGAAAGCAGTATGGAGAAAACTATGCCCCCATTCCCAGGAGTTGGGGGGTATGGGTGGTATTTGGTTATTTGGTGGGTTATTAATGTTTGTTATAGTTTAGGGAAATATAAGAATATAGGATTAAAAAAACTATTAATCTTATATATTTTACATTAGTATGGATCTTGGTTTATTGACACAAATTTAAAGTTAATCTTGTTATATCTTATGTATATTTCTACTCTTGTTTATGGTATTATGCTTATGCAGCTCATTTAAAAATGTATTATATAATTAAGAAATACAAATTAATAGTCATCCATAATAACGAGCTTATAGTCACATTAGTTAGGTTTTCTAGGTATACACAGATATATTTCAAATAGATAGGTAACCTTCAAACACTTCAAAGACCTACAGAGTATGGCATTTAATAGGTTTAATAACCTGAGGCTTTTGATGACATTGAGACACGTCTTCTCCTGGCAGCATCAATCTACTTCAGAGAAGATGATGGGCATCGAAGAAACTCCATTTGGAGTTTACTTTCTTTGTTGTAAATTTTAACCACTGGGCAAAAAAAGTGTCCTTGCCTCAACTGTTGACAGTATACTGTCCAAATTGGACAAGCAAGACACAAAAGAAAGTGACTGCCAAACTTTGTCACAACAAGGTAGAATAGTCCTTCAGAAAATCCTGCTTCACAGGTTAAGTCCATCAGATATTCTAGGTCTGTATGCTGAAGATGATGCCCCAACATTGCAGAGAAACTTTGGGTGACTATCTAGACAGCCAGCTGTTTCTGTCATTTCTCACAATTTTTTTTTAAGTCACTTGCTTGCACTTCCTGCTTACTAGGTTAATATTATTTCCTTCTTGGGTCTCTGATGGAGTTGAAGACTAGGTAGTTCTAGTTATAGGTTTCCCTGTTAACAAATTTGGAAAAGAAACTTATTAAGAGGTGTAAAGTGTATAAGTTTGAGAGACATCAAAACATAGTTTTTGGTTGGTAATACAAGTTAGGATAGAAAGTGAATTAGGTACAACACTTTGGACTGACCAAAGTAGGATAAATAATGGAGTGTTTTCTGAGTCTGTCAAATGTTAATGGACTAGACATTATTGATGTAAGTACTGCTTGTGTATATTGTACATAGTTATTGTATGTGTTGTATATAGTTTTTCTTATATTAGTTATAACCTTATTTTATTATTTTAGACCAAAAAGGGGAAAGGTAGTGATATTTTGTGTATGCTCTAACAAATAAAGCTTGCCTGAAGATCAGAGGGCAAAACTAGCCACTAGTTAGCCATAGAGGCCAGGCAGTGGTGGCACACACCTTTAATCCCAGCACTTGAGATCTCATGCTTTTGATCCCAGTACTTGGGAGGCACACATGCTTTTAATCCCAGCACTAGGCAGATTGAGACAGGAAGTGATATGGCTGAGTGGAGGAAGGAATATAAGGTGGGATGAGACAGGAGCTCAGTCTTTTTGGTTGAGGAATTGGTGAGGTGAGAGGTGGCTGTGGCTTGTTCCTTTGTTTCATCTTACTGCATCTACCCTGACATCTGGCTCCAGGATTTTATTAAGACCAATTTGGATTCATTCTACACTAAGTACAAATAAAATGTATTTACAGAGACGAGATGGGAAGGAGAGGCCAATTTATAATCTTCTGTGTATGCTACTGAAGTACAACCCAAAGAATGTACCTCAAAACAAGTTTAAATTTAGTTTGTTTAATATGACATAAAAT